ATGCCGTTTGGTCTCCAAAATGGCTCCCACTGTTTCCAAGCATTCATGCACCACGTGCTAGCAGGACTCCTCTACAAGAAGTGCGTATGCTTCCTCGACGACATTCTGATCTTCTCAGAATCGCAGGAGACTCACGAGAGAGACGTAAAGGAGGTCCTGCAGAGGCTACGGGAGCACAGACTCTACGCCAAACTGGAGAAGTGCCAGTTCGACGTGACGGAGGTGGATTTCCTGGGCTACCGGCTGTCCGACAAGGGACTAGCCATGGACAGCGCCAAAGTCCGCGCGGTGTTGGACTGGAATAGCCCGCGCAATCGGAAGGAGGTCCAGAGGTTCGTCGGCTTCGCCAACTTTTACCGCAAGTTCATCAGGGGTTTCGCGAAAGAGACGGCAGCTATCACGGACACCCTCAGTTCCAAGAAGAAAAAGTTCACCTGGACGGACCAGGCGGAGCAGTCCTTCAGGAGACTTAAAAGCCTCTTCGCGTCCGAAGAACAGCTGCTACACGTGAATCCCGGCAGGCCCATGCGGGTTGAGACTGACGCATCTGACAGAGCAGTGGGGGCCGTCCTCTTGCAGGAAGATCCGCAAGGGAACTGGAGGCCCTGCGCTTTCTATTCCCGGAAGCTCAGCAAGTCGGAACAGAACTACACCATCTGGGACAGGGAGTTGTTGGCCATCCACGCGGCTTTCAAGGCGTGGCGGCACTTCCTCATCGGAGCCAAGCACACCGTGCAGGTCCGCACGGACCACAAGAACCTAGAGTATTGGCGCACGGCGAAGCTCCAGAGCCAGAGGCACATAAGATGGGCGGAGTTCTTTGCGGATTTCGATTTCAGGATAGAGTATATCCCGGGAGACAACAACGTCATAGCGGATGCGCTCTCCAGGAAACCGCAGTATCTCGAGGAAGCGGCACCAGTGGCAGCCAGGCACATTTTCGCACCGCAAGCGTGGGCATGCGCTTCCGCCGCCGTGGACCTGGACGCGGTACGACGCGCGCTACAGACGGATCCGTTCGCACAATCCAAGATGGAGGAGGTGCGAAGAGGGACAGCAAAGGACGGCGAATTCCAGATACGCGACGGCCTGCTGACCCGCAAAGGTGCTCTCTACGTGCCAGGAGACGATCTCCGCGCGAAGGTTCTACAGCAGTTACACGACGCACCCAGCGCGGGTCACTTCGGCAAAGAAAAGACGGCGGACTTAGTAGCCAGAGACTTTTGGTGGCCCCAGATGCGGGGAGAGGTCGCGGATTACGTCGCCAGGTGTGACACTTGTCAGAGGTCCAAGCCAGTGCACAAGAAGCCAGCGGGATTGCTGGAACCGCTGGAGACGCCACTACAGCCGTGGGATAGGGTGGCGCTGGACTTTGTTACTGATCTGCCCAGTTCGCGGGGCAAGACGGCGGTGCTTGTGGTTGTAGATCTGTTCACCAAGATGGCGCACTTCATTCCTTGCGCGAAGGTGGCAACAGCGGAACAGACCGCCAAGCTGTTCATAGACCACGTGTTCCGGGTGCACGGCTTACCGCGGTCCATCCTGTCCGACCGGGGTCGCCAATTCATTTCCAGTTTCTGGCAGAAGCTCCTGGGCATCCTGAATGTCAAGATCAACTTAGCGTCGGCGAGACACCCGCAAACCAACGGCCAAGCGGAGAGGGTCAACGCCATCATGCAGCAGTACCTGCGATGTTACGCCAATCAAAAGCCTGCAACTTGGGTGGACTACTTACCGATGGCCGAGTTTGCCTACAACAACACGAAGCACGCGTCAACGGGGTGACACCGTTCTTCGCCAACAATGGGCGACATCCCAGAACCTTCCCGGCGTTGGAGACAACGACGCAGGGGAGTCGCAGGGAGCTGAGCATTTAGCAGCAGAATTGCAGGAGGTCCACGAGGAGCTACGACGGCACTTGGAACTAGCTAAACACGCCTACAAAGTGCAGGCAGACAGGCACAGGAGGGCAGGAGAAGACATCCAGGTGGGGGACTGGGTATGGTTAGCAGCCCAGGCGGTGCCGGCCAAGTCGTTAGCTAAGAAGAAGCTAGGACACAAACAGCTAGGGCCATACCAAGTTGAGGGCAGGATCAATCCCGTAGCTTTTCGGTTGACCCTCCCAGAAGGTTCCAGAATGCACCCGGTCTTTCATAGGTCGGTGCTTACACCCTACAAGGCCCCACACAGATTTCAGGAGCCAGGGACGGCACCAGACCCACGTAGAAAGTCACCGGGGGAAGTCACCGAGGACCCCGACACTCAACGAGGTCACGGAAATTCTGGACTCGAGATGGGGGAGGAGGGAGTGGAATACCTCCTCGCCAGGGAAGGTACCCGGCCAGCGCCAACAGTTGGGTGCCAGATTATGCTCTGGAGGAACCTCTTCTTAAAGACGAGTTCCATGCACTCTTCCCACACAGGCCCATGCCAGCGGAGTATTTTGACGACTGGCTTTTACGCCCACACTTTCAGGCAGCACCTTCCGGGGGTTCTCCTCCGCAGAGGAGACCACGCCGGAATCGAGCCCTCCAAGGGGATCGTGCTCGGGGGTGGACACGGACCGCTCTTATTGGTGGGACGATCAACCAGAAGTGGGGTGGCGAAGGGGGCCTTGGCAAGCAGCATCGCCTGAAGTACCGGGGGAGGGACGGGTTTGGATGGGTTGGGGGGAGGACCCCGGTTTCGAGCACTCATACACTGAACTGGAAGCAGAGGAGATCGACGTTGACGAACTGTATCCAGCATCTACCCCCGCTACAACGGAGCTCCCGGAACCTGCGCCCGAGCAGCGGGAGGGGGGAAGGGGGGCTTCGAGGGGGGGGATGGATGTCAGGGGTTCAGGGACAGAGGCACAGGGTAGGGAGGAGATGGAGAGCGATGGGGATGAATCCCAGGACAGCGAGGAAGAGGATGACAATGACTCAAGAGATTCCATGAGTCTTTCCAGCGAATCAGAGGATTCCCAGAAGGGGGCGCCAGTGGTCAAGGCCAGGGGAGCCCCAGGGGGGACGTGTCAGGAACAGGGGGCCAGCGGGGGATCCCAAAGTGGCAGCTGGGCGTCAGGACCAGCCTCCCCGCCAGAGTGCAGCGAAGGGGGTGGAGGTTCCAGTGTATCAGGGAAAGCAGCTCCGGCAGCAGAGAAGGGAGGGAGGTCGGAGCAAGCCACCCTCCCGGAAGGGGAGGGAGTAGTGAAGGGAGTAGTGTAACTGTCAAAAGGAAAGTTAGAGGTTGGGCGCGCGCGCAAGTTCAAATGTAGAGGCGCGCGGAAGTACAGGGAGCCCGGAGGAAGAGCCAGGTCCTAAAGCCCGCAGGAGGGGGAAGAGCAGTCGGGGGATAGCGCGTCAGGGGAATCCAGGAGGGCGAAACCCCAGCGGGCAGGAAGACCCTGAGGAAAAGGAAAGAGAGAAAGAGGTGGAGCAGCGCAAGGCTCTTAAACTGGTGCAGGGGAGGGACTGACTCAGAGGGGACTTCAACGGTCTAAGCGTACAGACGTGGGGCTGCGCGCCTCGGATATGAAGCAAACAATGAACTGCAATAAACACTTTTGTATATAAGAAGAGATTGGCGTTGGTCTTTTGTGAGCTGAGACCTGAGGCAGCCTTGACAGTAAGCCAAACCTAATAAAAAAACTAGGGCCAAAGTGGTTTTATTGGGTGTTATACTGGGGTGGATGAAGTGGTTATTGGTTATATATATAGCGGACAGATAAAGAGTTGGAAGTTCTTTAGTTTCAGAACTATATTCATTCTCTTTTAAGCTCTTTTCCACCTCTCTCTCTTCTTCTCTTTATGTTTTTATCTTATCCAGATTAATGTTGAATAAAAGTGATATTTGATATTAAGTTTTGTATTTCTCTTTACAAACTCTAATAAAATTAATTTTTTTAAAAACTGGGACCAATTATTTTTTTGGGGGGGAGCTGTATGAAAAGTGATACTGCCTAAGCAACTAAGACACAGATAACAAACAATTTTTAATCCTTTAGATTAAGAATGGGAAGGGTACTGTGAGGGATACATATAAATGCAAGCTGAACAAACACCACCAAACTCTTTCATTTGGAGACTAATGAAATGGCTAATTTCCCCCTTACCTCTATTACGACTTTGCATGCATCAGAAGAAAAAGGAATCAGAATTGCATGCAGGCACTGAAGATCCTCACCCTCTTGACTTTCTCTTCTAAACAGATGGCCTTGATCCAGCACTAGGTACCGTCAACTAGTTGTGCATGCTTATTTGCGGCTCTGGATAGAGATGAGAAGGCCTAGCAAGATTAGCCCCATTACCCCCTTATCCTCTCAATGCTACGAATGCCCCACATGTTCTGTGACTACAAAGCTCTTAGTGGCAGCCTCATGTCAGAGCTGGAATACTTCGTGATAGGTATGAAAATTTCTGCTGTAGGAAATATTTATCAGACCCTGAGCTGGTTGGAGCTGGGATCAATCTGGAAGCATACTGCACATATCCACATTGTTGTTTAGTCGTGTCCGACTCTTCGTGACCCCATGGACCAGAGCACACCAGGCACTCCTGTCTTCCACTGCCTCCCGCAGCTTGGTCAAACTCATGCTGGTAGTTTCGAGAACACTGTACAACCACCTCGTCCTCTGTCGTCCCCTTCTCCTTGTGCCTTATATCCGCATTAGCAGAATTGTTTATGCCCTTGTTACATGTGCAGCAGTGAGCTGTCCTGCTGCTGCCTGAAAGGATTGGTCCCACCAAAAGATGGGCAACACTTGTCATCATGCCGATCACCTGCTGTCAGGTGGAGTGCTGGGACTCAGCGCCTACAATCAGCTGATCCATGCTTTCAGAGTTGACGGTACCACACATTTGAGCATTGCATTGGAGCCACCAAAATAAACGCAACAAGCCTGGTTCAGAAAACTCTGCACTGGAATGCATACAGCCATAAATCACTGAGCCAGGCCATATGTGTTAAAACAAATGGCTACATAGCACAGGCACATCAATTCAAAGACTGTATTTTATCGTTGCAAATGTTATATTCATTTATTATAAATAAATCTTATAAATAAATCACACCTGCCTTTAAAATACATAGAAAAGTTCTACATTCAAGAGTTTTCAGCAGATAATCTCATTGTGTTACATTACATGTCAGCTGCCCACTACCGTGTGTGTGTGTGAGAGGACTCAGTTCGCTACAGCCTGATTCGTAAAATACTCGGGCCCTTTTTTTTACGAGTGCATCCAAAAGAGAAGGTTTTTAAGGGGGGGGGGATCATTTGCTATTGTTTTATTTAGTTTGCAAAGTTCAGATATCTGCACCGCTGGCTGGCTTGGTGCTTTTCTGCTAGTTCTACTGCATGTTGTCGGTGGAGATGGGAAGGGATTCTGCAAAGCTTTCTTTGAGCTCGTCGACTTCCCTCAAAGAGTCGCTCGTTTCAAAGTCAGCGTCGCAGGTGGTTGAGCTGAGCGCCGGCGGCAACGTGCACGAGGTATCTGCAGTTTCATTGGTGACCACAAAGGAGGAAGGATCCAGCCCCACGCTCACTGGTTCGCTCAGATTTGGGGAAAAGCCAGCCTTGCCCTCCACCTTCTCAGAGTCATCGCTGTGTACGGGAGATACAGAGGGATCGTTTCCATTTAAACCCACCGCTTTTAACAGCACCTCGCATTTTGCTGGCTTGTTTTGTCTTTGAGCTTTGCTGCGATGTTGGCGGTGCTCAGCTGGCTCAGGCCTGCGCAGACCAAACATGTCCAAGCCTCCCGCCGGCTTTTCCTCTTTGCTGCAGCCCAAGTCTACTTTCAGAATCTCCAGCAGGTGGCGCATTTTGGTCTAAGATTTCAAGGAGGAAATAATACGAGAGTTTGGAAAAACAATTTTAGATTTATTTATTTTTAAATATATATATATATGGTACAATGGTTTTGTTTTTAACTATCAGAAAGATAATCAAATAGGTCATTTTCAACCCAGGCTTTTCTAGGTAACTGTTTCTGAAATATATATTTTAAAAACCTGCTTATTCCCTGTTATAATGCATTCGCTTCAAAGTGCGATTATCATCTTCCAAAGCATCTACTTTATTCCAAACTTAAAAATGGTAAGCGTAATGCTGGTGGTCAACGAGAGAGTTTCAAAGACTCTCTCAAGGCAAATCTAAAAAATGTAGGATAAACACTGACAACTGGGAAACACTGGCCTGCAAGCGCTCCAGTTGGAGAACAGCCTTTACCAAAGGTGTCATGGGCTTTGAAGACACTCGAACTCAGGATGCAAGGGAGAAATGTGCTAAGAGGAAGGCACGCTTGGCAAATCCACACAGTGATCAACTCCCGCCTGGAAACCAATGTCCCCACTGTGGAAGGACGTGTGGATTCAGAATTGGCCTCCATAGTCACTTACGGACTCACTGTTAAAACCGTGTTCATGGAAGACAAACTTACTCGGCTATGAGTGATCGCCAAAGAAAGAAGAAGATAACACATCCAAGAATGAACAGTCCAGTACAAATTCTTAAATGGGTCTATATAACATGTATATGAAATAAGGAACTCTCTACGTACACGTGTGTGTGTGTGTTTTCTACTATACAGAAGAAGAAAAAACAGATTCACAGAGCCAAGTGCTTATGTCAGTCAGTAGTTGTCTATGCATTTAATGCAAAGCCAAAAACTATGGTTTAGTTAGTAGGTCATGCTTGTTCACGAATGCTCCATGTGAGTCTGCTTTGCTCAAGTGGGTAAATAAACTACAAACCTAACCTGTTTGTTTTGGCGTAATAACCCACAATTGCCATCCAGCCTTAAGCCACGGTTTGTTGCTGACTTAGCGATAAAGGTTTGTTAGGGCAAAATAATCTCAGGCTGGGTCATCGTGCTCTTTGTGGTTTGTTTGCCTGGTCATTCCCAGGGAAGAGCAAAGTGGGTGTACTCAGTGAACAGGATAACAACAGCATTTGCATTAATCTTATGTGGCCTTATCAAATGGCCTTGTATACACAGGACATACCTCATCCAGGTGGTTCTTATTTTGTTCTATGTGACGCTCAAATAACCTTTCCAGAGCCCTTTTTAAAAAAAGAAGAAACATTTTGCCATGAAGGTGCTGGTCATTTTTCAGAAGGAAACAATTTTTAAAAATTGCTAAAGGTGTCTAAACACCAACATTTAAAAGTGTTTTCTAGAAAAAAGAAAAGAAGAAGCATCAGCTAAGATTCTCTTATTTATTCTTTGCCAGGAATAGTTCTCAATAAAATAAAACGCCATTAAGCAAAAGTTTAAAAAGTTATTCACAAAGTCAGTAATTGACTCGGTCACTTGCACCTGCAGAACTTGCACTTCTACAAGTGCCCTGCAGTTTCCATTCTGCATTCATCAGGAGTCTGGCCTTAGGGTGGAAGAAAATGTCCTTTGGAACTCCCTGCCTATTGACATTAGGCATTTGCCATGTATTCTTTCTGACACCTGCTTAAAATGCTTCTGTTTTGGGGGCAGGTTATTCAGATACACGACTCCTTACATGCTTAATTGCCCTTAACTGCTTTTAGATGTTTTTAACACCCTTTGAATGTTTGAATAGGTTTTTATTTTTTTTATTTATTTAGCTGTATTTTTATTGCAGATATGTTTACTGCCCAGGGCTCCTTTTGAAGGAAGGACAGGATATAAATGACTAAAAAAAGAGAGAAAAGGGTCATGTCCAATTATTTCCCTTTGCTAATACAACACTCTTTGATCCAGTGGAGGCTGAAATGACTGAAAAGCAGGGGGCAAGCAATTATTGGTGATTCTTGATTCCTTCTGAAGCCCCCTGTACCTGCTCCAGGGGGCTGCAGGATCCTTGGGAAAAAACGTAAGTAGTTTTGCTGGATCCTTCCTATAGAACTGTTTTTGGTTTCCTCTTGTCTGTTAGACGCCTGACCAGACCACTTCAGCTCCCAATCACTTATATAATGCATTTCACAGCATCGCTGAAAAAATTAAAATAACCTCAAATATATCCAAACCTGTTGGAAAACAATCCGAGTTTAAGAATCTCATCTGTTATGTCTTGGATGAAATTTAAATACAGAAGTTCTTCTTCTCTGCAGAGGAAAAAAAAAAGCCGATATGTATCTCTCTTTGAAGTAGTAGATTATATAGATGTAAACATAGCTATCGATAAATTTAGGCTGAAGATCATTAGAAGCAAAGGACGTCCAATACATGCAGGTCCTGCCTGCTCACTATGTAAAAACTATGCCCAAACCTCCCTATAAACCCTGCAAGGAATCAGATATCCAAACAGCTGTATCAGACAAATCAGAGAGCAGGAGAGATCAGGTAAATAAGTTTCCCCTTTATCTCTTTGCTGGTTGGCTGCAGCCATTTCAGAAAGAAATGGGCGGGGGGGGAGAGAGAGAGAGAGAGAGAGAGAGAGAGAGAGATAGATATTGGAGAAATCATGGATTAGAAATGTTCCTATGGGAATCAATGGAAATTGTGGAATTGTTATGTGAACACTTGCCTAACAAATTACCTGCATGTAGTTTCAAAATGCAGCCATATAAAACTATCAAGGTTAAAATGAGTAATTTGAACTTGATAAGCTGCTGGAGTTAGATGGGTAATACTCAACCAAGTTTTAGGGAATGAAATTAATGAACATGACTAAATTGGGCCCGTTAATTTCAGTGGGTCTGCTCTACATCAGTTGAATACCACCCTCTGCTTCCATAATGGGCTGCAATCCTAATCCACTTTACCTGGGAGTAGCTCTCATTTAATTCAACAGGCCTTGTCAGACATGAGTAGAAGTGTGCTGTAAATGGGTAAGATTAATGAACTTATTGAATGACAAAAGATGCACCAATTAATTGGGCAGCAGATTTTTTAAAGAAGTTCTTTAATAAAAGTACTAAACAGTAAAAATAAAAATACACCCTAAAGATGGCAAGCTGTATTGTAAAAGAGGTGTTCTGTTTTTCCCTTCACGCAAGAGGGAACGCCTATTCTGAGATGGCGCCTATTCTAAGACACACTCTCGTCACCTAAAAACAAGGAATGTTCTTTTTATTTTATTTGCTTTCACATTTGAATTCTTTTTATGGCTTCAGAACATTCCCCCCATACACAAATGTGAATCAATTAATCAACAAAAATGTGTATGATTAATTGGGCCAGATTTCTGTTATCAGGCACCTGCCTTCGTTCTTAACCCTGCCTCCTAACAGATTAAATCACAACAGGATCCACTCTTCTAAACCTTCTGTACTCAGGAGTTAACAGATTAACCTACTGGCAAATGGGAAGGCTTTAACTTCTGCAATTCCCCACATATTAGAAGCAGGTAACCTCAAGGCTGTTCCCTCCCTCGTTCCCACACAGAATTCTCTTATAATGTTATTATATCTCCTCCCCCCTCATCCTTTTACAAACGTGTTTAATAAAACAAGACAAAACATTTCAAGTCACAGGAATGTAATTTAATTGCTCAGATGTCTAAATAGTAAGCAAACAGATGCAAACGAATGTCGGGGAGACGCAAACACTTAATAGAAGTAATCAACCATCAGTATGCAAATCTGTTGATAGGGGCTGCTAAATTTCCCTCCATAAACAGAAATGGCATCTCTAAAGGAGTTGTTGCCTGAGTGAAGGGTGCTGAGCATCAATGAACACCTTGAATGGCTTTGGCACAGGCTTCTTTGCACCCACCGTAAATCATATAGAGGTTGGAAAGTTTCCAGCTACTTGGCATTCTGATCAGACCCCACGTTGATGCTTATAATACTACATTCCTGCAGTGCCTTCCAAGGAATACTAGAACACCTTTCAACATTGTGTCTTGCAGCCCAGATGTCTTTGAAAGACAGAAAGAGAATGCCAACGGCCTCCCAGAAATCAGTGGCAAAGCTGGGATAGGGGAGACTTCTTAACACCATTTCCCTGGCTCGGCCCAAAGCTTTGTTTGGGCAGGGAAAGAATCAGACAGTTTTTCCATCTTGGGTTCCCAGATTCAGCTGGACTACAAATCCCATTATCCCTAGCCCAATGAGCATGGGATGATGGGAGTTGTAGTCCGACATCTGGGGACCCTAGGTTGGAGAAAGCTGCTTTATCCTGTGGTGGCATGCCTTTCTTTATGGTGAAGGAGTGGGCATACCATCGCATCTCCACCATGAAGCAGATGATGCTGTGTGAGCTGGGTGATCCACACCAATGCCCAATTATGCTGTGATGCTTGTTGTTCTTATTTCTCAAAGAAAGGGAGGTGTGTGAGCCTGTGTTAAAAGTACACAATTTTCTCATGCAACAAAGTGCTGGAATGCACAGCTGCATGTTCACTCCCACTCCTTTCCCCTCATGTGTACAGAGCTTAGATTCAAGTGTCTGAGTATTTTCCCCACCATCTCGCACGGCATCTCACAGTTAGGATTTTACGTAACCGATGCTGGCTAGTGTGATTAGTATAAATCACATGAGATGTCTGAGAAGAGTGTGGGAACGGAAGACTGTCTTATCTCTTCCGTCTGAGAGTGTTATTGGACTATACTTTCGCTTTTGCTGTATGCTTTCTGTTTTCTGCCAGAGTTTGGAGAACACAGACGGGATTATGGATTCTCTGTATATATTGTGAATAAAACGCAGTTTAGATCTACGGATGTCTCTATCTTCTTGCTGTGTGATGCCAGAAAACTTTTGTGCATTCTTCATAACAGAAGTGTCGCAGATGGGCACTCTGGAGTGAAGGGACATGCCATTCCAGAGACGTGCCTACCAGGAGACGCTCGGAGGTACTGGGGGTCTGCCGTCCCCCCCAGGAGCGTTTTCCACGAAGAGGATGGTTTGATGATCCAGTGCCCTCTGCTACTCTGGAGTAACGACGGCGAGTCTTCGTTCCGGGGGTGCCTATAGTGTCGAGGCTGCGTTCCTGCCGGAGAAGAGTGAAGTTGGCTGTGTGCCGTCGGACTGTGTGAGTACCCTTTGATTTAAGAGGGCTATAAACCTCAGAGAGATAAGCAAGCCTTAATTGCCGGGAGTTTGCCCGAGCTTGCTGGAGACTGTTTGCTGCTGCAGAAATTGTTGTGGGACCTTTTGGCTGCAAGTAAAAGGCCAAAATGGATTCCAAGCAAGGAGTCAGATTGCGGTCGTGTCCGCCATTATCGGACGACAATTATGCTGCGTGGTCACAGAAAATGGAGGCCGTTCTTGTAAGGCAGCGGCTGTTCCACGTGATTGAAGACCCGATCCCACTGCAGCCGGATAGAGTATGGCGTGACCAGAACACGCAGGCGAAAGCACTGATCACCCTGTCTGTGTCTGATGATCAGTTGATTCATATCCGGGATTTAGCCACCGCACAAGAGATGTGGCAGGCTTTACGAGATGTTCATCTCAAAGCAGGGAGTGCTTACTTGCTTTTCCAACGGCTTTTTAATTTGAAGTTGAAAGCTGGAGATTGCCTCCAAAAGCATCTCACGCAGTTGAAGTATCTGCGTGGTCAGCTGATGCAGAGGAACTTTGATCTTTCGGAACCTGTTTTCTGTCTCTTGATTATCCACAGCCTAGATGGGAGGTACGCGACTGTTGTGTCACAGCTTGTAGCTCTGCCAGTTGCAGACCTCACCGTGACGAGGATTTGTTCTATGCTGCTGTCAGAGGCTGATAGACAAGCAGCATTTGTGGCAAGTGAGGGGGAGAATGGAGCTTCGAAAGCCCCCCCTCTGGGTGCTCAAAGGGAGGAGGGAGCGGTTGCTCTTAAGGCCACACGGTGTTACAAGTGCGGGGCCATCGGACACCTTCAACGCAATTGCAGGAAGGGCCAAAAGCCCAAAGAAGCGACCAGGAGCTCTGGAATGGGAGGGGCCAGTGGCAGAGAGCGTGCTAAGCCCCGTCCTACACAAGCACTTGCTTTTGGTTACACCACAATGCCTTTGTAGTGGACGCAGGAACCATAATCCACATGTCTGGGCAAAAAGGTTTGTTAACAACCTTCAAGGAGTTGTGGAATACTGTCAAGCAAGTGGACGGTCAATCTTTGAGAGCTATAGGGATTGGAACAGTGTATTTGGAGAACATCCAAACCACGATTAACAATGTCCATTATGTTCCAGGACTGTCTTACAATTTGTTGAGTGTGTCTCAACTTACTGAGCAAGGTTTTAGTGTTTCTTTCAACAAGGAGAGAGGCGTGATCACCAGAGATGGAAGAGATCTCCTGTATGCCTACCAAGAAGATGGACTTTATTTACTTTCTTTTGACAGTAATGACTGTAAGAAATGTGATGATGCATTTTGTGTTACAGGTACAAAGCCAAGAGGCAAGAAGTCTGGTAAGGTAGTCACGAGAGCTTTCCAGTGAGTGTATGCTGACGTGATTGGTCCTCTATCACCTTCTAGAGGCAAAGCCAAGTATTACCTGATTATGGTTGATTTTTTTTCTCAGTATTCATGGATCGATATGCTAGAAAAACAACATCAGACTTTAACAAAGTTCAGAGAATTTTGTGATAGGGTGCAATTTGTTCATGATGCGAAAATTGAATGTCTTTTCACTGGTGAAAAGTAGGTTTTTGTTTCACAGGAATTAGAACATTTCCTAGGTGAACAAGATTGCCGTCCGGGAGTCTTCACGGAACAATGATGTGTGTGTGAAGGTGAACATAGAGTTACAAAAGGGCATGAAAGCACAACTGCTAAGTGCAAGTTTGCCACAAGAGTTTTGGGCTGAATTGCTGAATGTTTATACTTGGAATAGAAAATATTCCAAAGATGTAAAAGGTATGCCCTATGAGAAACTTTTCCAGAGAGAACCTTTTGTCAAACACCTTAGAGTATTTGGGTCTGACATATGGGTGGAGACACCGCAGAGTACACGTGGTACACATGGCAATTTTATGGGTTATGAGAAAGGATAATACAGAGTTTTATTGCCTGACACTGATACAGTGATTCTCAATAGGGAAGTAAAACACACTGTTAGAAAAGAGAAAGATATTCTCCACAGTTATCCCATTTTTGCCACTTCAGATGTAGAGTTTGACATTGGTATTGATAGTGACAGTGAAAGCCTTTGATAACATTTCTTGGGAATTTATGTTAAAGAATTTGGAATATATGGATATGGGTCAATCTTTTTTGAGTGGTATAAAGGCAATATATACGGAGCAGAGAGCGAAACTAATTGTTAACAATGTTATAACAGAAAATATTGCCATAACCAAGGGTACAAGACAAGGGTGTCCTTTATCTCCGTTATTATTCATCTCGGTCCTAGAAGTCTTCCTAAGAACACTAAGAAATAATGAAAAAATAAAAGGTGTGACAGTTGGTTGTAACGAATATAAGGTTAAAGCCTTTGCCGATGACTTGGTTATAACTATAGAAGATCCTATGCAGAGTGTTAAAGAGGTGTTAGAAGAGATAGAACATTTTGGACAGGTGTCCGGCTTTAAGTTAAATAGGCAAAAAACCAAAATAATTGCTAAGAACTTGGATCAAGAGATAATAGAAAGAATACAGCAACAAACAGAGATGAATGTGGTCAAGAAAGTGAAATATTTAGGGATTACGTTAACTCCCAGGAGTATTGATCTGTTTCAAAACAACTATGTACCAATATGGAATAAAATTAAACGTGATTTAGCGGTGTGGGGAAGAATGAAATTATCACTATGGGGAAGAATTGCAACGATAAAGATAAGCGTGTTACCGAAAATGTTGTTTTTGTTTCAAACAATTCCAATAATTAAAGGTGTGACAATATTTAAAGAATGGCAAAGAATAATGTCAAGATATATCTGGCAGGGCAAGAAGCCAAGAATAAAATTTAAAATATTAACAGATGCAAAAGATAGAGGAGGCTTTGCCCTGCCAGATTTAAAGTTATATTATGAAGCCTCATGTCTTTGCTGGGTGAAAGAATGGATAAAGTTAGAAAACACAGAATTGTTGGACTTAGAAGGTTATGATAATAGATTCGGTTGGCAAGCGTATTTATGGTGTGAAAAGAATAGAGTGCATAAGGGTTTCGAAAACCACATCTTTAGAGGATCGTTGATGGAAGTTTGGAATAGGTATAAAAATTTACTAGAGTTTAAAACTCCATACTGGTTATGACCATTGGAGATAATGAGTGTGAAAAAGATCAATATGACAGGGAGATGGATTACTTACGAGAATTTGATAATTAAAGAAGGTAATAAATTGAAATTGAGACCATATGAAGAAGTTAAAGAAAACGTAAATGATTGGTTGCACTACTTTCAGTTAAATGCAATGTTCAAAAAAGAGTTGTCAGAAAGAGGTTTTCAGGAAAAGAAATCTAGGTTTCATCAAGAAATTTTGGACAGTGATGTTAAAATTTTATCAAAAATGTATAAGTTATTACTTGAGTGGCATACAAAGGATGAGGAAGTTAAATCAGTTATGATTCAGTGGGCTAAAGATTTTGGTTATAATATACAATTTGATGAGTGGATAAAATTGTGGAAAGAAGGAATGAAATTCACTGCATGCACTACAATAAAAGAAAATGTTATGAAAATGATGTATAGATGGTATGTAACACCAGTGAAACTTGGTAAGATGTATAAAGTCAGTAATAAATGTTGGAAATGTCAGGAAAAAGAAGGAACATTCTATCACATGTGGCGGGAGTGTAAGAAAGTGAAAAGCTTCTGGGAAATGATTTATAATGAGATGAAGAAAATGTTGAAATATACTTTCGTTAAGAAACCAGAGGCATTTTTACTAGGAATATTAGGGAATGAAATTAAAAAGAAGGATGTGAAATTATTTAGGTATGCAATGACAGCAGCTAGAATTTTGATGGCCCAGAAATGGAAACAGGAAGAAATGCCGACGAGGGAAGAATGGAGAATGAAATTGATGGAATATGCAGAAATGGACAAATTAACGGGGAAAATTCGGAATCAACGTGACCAGAGATTCACCGAGGACTGGAATAAATTTACAGAGTATACCAAAAATGTATGTGAGAAGCAAATAACGCTTGTTGGTTTTCAAGAAGCTCTGTGAAAATGATGGATAGAAATGTTGCTTAAAAGATATGATAAGATTAAGATTGTTAAAGCGCAATATAAATTTAAGAAATGCGAGTAATTGTGATTATATGGAAAATTGTCAGATAGGTTGAGGGAAGTCTAAAAGATGTATATGTTAGAAGTGGATGTTAAATATGGATGGAATGTATATTGGAAACTGAATAAAAATTATTATATATATAAAAAAAGATAGTGACAGTGAAAGCACCACTGAGAGTTCTGATACAGGTGACACAGTTATTGCTAGAAGTACACGTATATTGTCCAGACCATTGTTAGAGTCTGAACTGGAAGAAGAGAAGCCACTGTTCACTGTAAGTCGTTCTCCCAAAGAGGAGATGGTCAGTAAGGAAGACCTGCCCCTGATACACAGATCAGATAGAGCTACGAAGGGTAAACCACCCAACAGGTATGCTCAGGAATTTGCCAACACAGCTGTTCCAAATATAGCTGTGGCTTGCATTCCAGACCAGGTTACAGAACCTGAGATCTTGAACAGAGTACAGGGTTTGTCCTCAAAGGGCAAGAAACCACGCCTGAAGGTTGCAAGAGTCAACACTGTTTCCTCAGACCAAGGGAAAACTAGAGCTCTAATCCCATGGAAGAAAGGTAATCAGAGGTGTGAACTGGTCAGTCCAATTGCAGGGAGTTCCAAAGGTGGAACTGGTACAACAGATGTATACTATGGGTATGACAACTGTTTAAGTCACTTAATGCTGCCCTTGCTTACGCAGCATCGATTACCTAAAATGGGGGTGGATGTTAGGATTTTACGTAACCGATGTTGGTTAGTGTGATTAGTATAAATCACATGAGATGTCTGAGAAGAGTGTGGGAACGGAAGAATATCTTATCTCTTCCGTCTGAGAGTGTTATTGGACTATACTTTCACTTTTGCTGTATGCTTTCTGTTTTCTGCCAGTTTGGTGAACACAGACAGGATTATGAATTCTCTGTATATACTGTGAATAAAACGTAGTTTAGATCTGCGGATGTCTCTATCTTCTTGCTGTGTGATGCCAGAAGACTTGTGTGCACTTTTCGTAAGAGAAGTGTCACAGATGGGCACTGTGCACATGCCATTCCAGAGACGTGCCTACCGGGAGATGCTCAGAGGTACTGGGGGTCTGCCGTCCCCCCAGGAGCGTTTTCCACACTTATGTGTGTTTTTCTCACTGTGTGTGATGCATCTTTGCTCCTAAAAAGCACGGGAAGGAATAAGGAGGACAGGGTTTCTTTTAATTTTTATTCATAGCAGTGGTAAAGGTAAAGGTGAAGGGACCCCTGACCATTAGGTCCAGTCGTGACCGACTCTGGGGTTGCGGCGCTCATCTCGCTTTACTGGCCGAGGGAGCCGGCGTACAGCTTCTGGGTCATGTGGCCAGCATGACTAAGCTGCTTCTGGTGAACCAGAGATGCACGTAAATGCCGTTTATCTTCCCGCCGGAGCGGTACCTATTTATCTACTTGCACTTTGACGTGCTTTCAAACTGCTAGGTGGGCAGGAGCAGGGACCGAGCAACGGGAGCTCACCCCGTCACGGGGATTCGAACCGCCGACCTTCTGATCAGCAAGTCCTAGGCTCTGTGGTTTAACCCACAGCACCACCCGCGTCCCATAGCAGTGGTAGACACTGTTTAAACCAATCAACCAGATAAGGAAGCATCATGTTACAATTGGTTCTCTCCCGACACTATGTGCCTCGTTTAGGCATCAAAGGTGGAGGGCAGAAGAGGAGAAAAAGGAAAGAAAGAGTGCCTGGAACAAAGGAATGATTTGCCAATGAGAGGTTTTTGCCACCATTGGGCTGATGGGATCTGGAGTCGAACTGCAGCTGGCAGGCCACAGACTCCTCTTCCGTGGCATAAAGTGACCAGCTCAGAAGGTGCTCCCTCATTATTGGTTCAGCTTTATTATTAACAATTCTGAACGTTCAGAATTTTCGCAATGCTGAAATGAAAATGGCACTTACTCAGCTTGGATTCTTTTCATCGTTGGGGACTGCGTAGAAGACGGTGACGTCACCCTGAGCCACAAGCGGGTGGGAGAGAGGGCAGCAGAAGTCAGACACTGAAGGCAACACACTACCACAAAGCCGTCATGCATATATGCTCATATATACCTCAATGAATAGACTAAATGTGGAGGGGGAGGCTCCTATTGTCAGAGGGTGGGCTGAATACCATGTGTTTAGTCCACATGTGGAGAGGAACACGTGTAAAGGGTTTCTGTCTAGCTGTTATTGCCTCACTAAATAATCTTGGGTATTTACGGCTTGGGAAGGATGACGAGAAATTTGTTAGTGATTCCTAGCCCTCCTAGCGTAACTACATTTCCCAGGATTCCTTGTGAAGAGGGGTATCAACATTAACCTGGTTTCAAAATGTAACATACACGTGGTGCAAATAAGGTTAAGCAATATTCTAGAGACTGGCTTCATTCTCTTGCATTCATCAAATTCTGGCAACTCTTTCTGAAATGACCTTCACATAAAACCATCTTTTAAGGAAGATGCCCAGGGATCTCTTATAAGCCAAGGACTGCCACTTCTGATGGGCCTCAAGTACGTGACCTGCATGCTATTTAGACTGAAATTTTTTTAGCATGAGGAATTTATCCAATGAATGGCCCCGTTGGTGTGTTCTACATACTAATGCCTTCATGATCACAACAAAAGGTAGTTTGAAAAATCACTTCTGACAATGCTGCTTTTCAGCTCAAGAAAAGTACATTGACTTTTATAAGCTTCTGAATTTACAATATCTCGTTTCCTAAAGGGAAATGCTCCTTAAGTAGGCCTTTGATTCAGTGATTTTACAGCATGCCTATCATAGAGCTCTCATGTTGCCGAATATGCCACCCACTAAATCTATTTTATTTCAGTGCTTTTGTCCTCGATGCAGACGGAGAGCGCACAGAATGCACAAATACCTGCTGCACCTTTTTATTTGGGGGGCCTCTGTGGCTCAGCACAGGTGAGTCATCAAGAATATGAGTAGGCTTGAGTTTGGCTATAAACTCAAGAGGTTTATCTGGAAAATCAAAACAAAACACAATTGAGCTGTATCTAATGAAGCCGTCTTCCATTTGTGGAAAAGAACTTCCCTTCTCAGTCAAAAATCAGTCATGGAGGCTCCTCCAACCTTCTGGAGTAGATTTGGGGGAATGTGGGGGGCGGGAATTATGCTTGCATTAGCAGGGCAGCTTTGTTGACTAGTTTGTATTCAATGTTACTCATACAGAAGCAGATCCATTAAAATGAATGGACACAACTAACTTATGTCCATCAATTCCAAAGGGTCCACACTTGAGTAGAACTTAGTTGGATACAGCCCAATGAGTGGTATCCAACTAAACTGCCACATCAGTGCATGAATTTGTCTTTTCCTTCTCTCCTTCCACGTGTGCCCTGCACCCTCTAGACATTTGCTTTGGAGAGTTGGGGGAACCCCTAGAACAGATTGGGGGGGGGAGCTGCATTGCACAAGTGTGAATCCTTGTGCAGCTCAGTTTTGTGGGGTGTATGTTTGTGTGTTGGGGAGGGGCAGGACAAAAAGGTATCTCAGCTATGGTAAAAGCCAGTGAAAAGAACTGCGACTTTCTTTGAAGAAGGAATTTGGAGTTTTTAAATGGTATATCTGATGTCGCAGCCATATTGGTGCTGGAGCATAAGAACAGGACAAAATTTGCTTCAAAGCACTCAAGAGGCAGAGGTGTACAGGGTCTGGCTGATCTGGCAGGTCAGGTGTTTCCTCACTAGGCCCTTAACCCTGACTCTGTCTGGTGATACGAGAACCAGATCCTGAGAGGGGATGTTAGTCTAGCAGCCACATGACACAGCTACTTCACATGCTCACTTTTTAACATGACTAAATGAAGATTATTTGACACACAAGCGCCATTTAAATTTCTTCATATGTATTAATATTCATAGCCCTTCCACTCCCACCCCTTAGCCTGGTCTTGTTTGTTATTATACTTTTTATTAACCATGAAGGCAACAAGTATTTGGGCCACATCCAAATGAACTTGAACCTCCTTTCCATCTTTTGTTACCAACAACTTGCCCGAAATATTTCTTGGTGTACCACCCTGGGCCAGAGTTGCTTCCAATAACCATTTTGTTTTATCGCATTCTCGCCATTTATTGGTAGAGAGAGAGATGCTCTTGCTGTTAACAAAATTGCCCCCTCCTTTCAAACACACTTTCCCTCTTACTAGTTTTGCTGATGAATTTATGTTTGAAGGAATATGTAAATATAGAAAGCATATATAATAGCCTTAATCTCAAAAAAGGCGCCTTTTCTGGATGGTCATAAGCCCAGCATCAGAAGAACGGCATGAATATTGATTGAGTATGAATATTGCCACCCACCCCCAAATGACATGTACCTTGGTGAGGAGAACTGGGGGAAAGACTTCATTTCATCAGCCTTATCATCTGCAGTGTCTTCCACCTACAACCCAGAGAAAGCATCTGTGTTATTGGTGCAAAAGAAATGGAAAGTGAGAGGAAAGAACTGTAGTCTGTTAACATGTGGAACCGAACCTGTCCCTTCCTCAACGTGCATGTGCTCTGCCACCATACCAGGAACAACGCAATGCGCCTGGACTTTTCAGGTATGGGAAAGGACCATACCTCAGCAGTAGAACATTTGCAAGCAGAAGCTCCAGGTTCAATCTCTGGCATTTACAGGAAGAGCTAGTGAAGGACTCCCATCTGAAACCATGGAGAGCCGCTGCCAGACAGTGTATACAATAGTGAGCTGAATAACCCAGACAGCTTATTATGAGAACATGAGGCCTGGCAGTGTTTCATATTTTAGTTGAGATTCCTCAACTAGTCCAGGGGCTTGGACCAAGATAACTCTCAGGATCCCTTCCAACTGTACAATTCTATGATTCTATGCCATACAGTTGTGTAGCAACCTATTCCTTTTCAACTCCCCAGGACCACAAGCTACTCTCACAAAATATGATGGCCACCTGCAAACATCTCAAGGGCTGTCATCATCATCATCATCATTTATTATTTTTACCCTGCCCATCTAGCTAGGTTTCTCCAGCCACTCTGGGCAGGTCCCAACAGAACATTAAAAACACAATCAAACATTAGAAACGTCCCTAAGCAGGGCTGCCTTCAGATGACTTCTAAAAGTCAGATAGTTGTTTATTTCCTTGACATCTGCCGGGATGGCATTCCACAGGGCATGCACCACTACCGAGAAGGCCCTCTGAAGTGAGGGAACCGCCAGAAGGCTCTTGGAGCTGGATGATGGAGGTGGAGATGCTCCTTCAGGTATACTGGGCTGAGGCTATTTAGGGCTTTAAAAGTCAGCACCAACACTTTGAATTGTGCTTGTAAACAGCTCCATGGAAGATGGAGCAAGCTTGTTTTCTCCTGCTCCAGAGGGTTGGACCTGAACCAATAGATTCAAGTTATATGAAACCAGATTCTGATTAAACATCAGGCAGTATGAGCTGTTTGGCAGTGGGACAGACTCTCTGAGAAGGTGGGGGGCTTTCCTTCCGGTACATTTTAAAGCAGAGGCTGGATGGTCACCTGTCATGGATGCTTAACACCAAGGGTCTAAATAGTGATCCATTTAAATGTTATTACCACTTGGAAGGTTAAGATGTAAAATGGCTTGTTGACTGAAATACATTTAAATATATCACTTGAATTACCTCCTTTATCATCTTCTGAAAGTCAGCCATATTACTTTTTTCTGACCCTTCAGACGCCACTTGAAAACTGCAAAATGTAATATGATATATTAGGCAGATCTTGAAGTTACCTTTAAACAGTACACTGGTTTTTTCTTCTTCTGTATGTCAGAACATCCAACTTTCAACAAACAAACAAAAACCTAATGGAAATTGTAATGCTTTTAGATACCTGGGACAATCTCAGCTATGCTCTTGCTTGAGTGATGAAGGCACTGATGGGTGAAAAGTGCAAATCCATCTGCTTAGTTATCACTGCATTTTAGTATTGGAGGCAATTGCAACATAGATGAGGAAGCCAGATGATATTAATAGCTACCGTTGCTCAGCTAGGGCACACCCTCAGTCCTATGAATAACAAGCTACACAATAGATATTCATGGTCCTGACAGCATTCAGCAACCCCTCAGAACGGGAAGATTTGACAATATTAGATTGGGAGAACGTGTGCTTTGGCGAAGAGGGTGTTCACCATGTATCACACATATTTCTCAATAATAGGATATATTTCCTACAACACTGTTCCTGCTTATTTTCCATTATTTTGGGGGGAAATTAAAGAATGAAAATTACATGGAGGATATGAAGTAGCAGTGCTTAGTGAATTTATTATTGATTGAAACAACTCCATGAATGTATATGACACTTCACCGCAGAAGAAAACACATGCATACCAAATAATTTGATCATTGTCCAATACACTTATCGTACCCACAATGCCAAATCTAAGAAAGGGATTGAGTCATGGTGGTTCTCAAGTTAGGATGTTGGCCTTGAATCTTTAGAGAATTGAGTTCAACGGTTGTCACAAAGTGACCTTGGGCAGGTCACAGTATCCTAGTTTTAGTCTAACCAACTTATCTGTTGACATGATCAGACACTGCATATGGCAACCTCTCTTTTCTCATTTCAACTGTGGAACAGAGGACACCATTTGCTAATGTAATAATAATAATAATAATAAGAAGAAGAAGAAGAATTTAAACCACAGCCACTCTGAGCAGCTTCGAACACATATAAAAGTATAAAAAAAACAAACATTAAAAACTTCCTGATACAAAGCTGCCTTCAGATGTCTTCTAAAACTTGTGTAGTTCATATATCACAATGTGAATACATTTCAATATTCAGAGCTTTGGAACATTAAGTTTCTGTAATTATGTATTAATATTGAATTCCATGGCTTAGAGCCAGACTAACTTCCTGTTTGCTTTTGAGTCCAATTCATAGCTTAACACTGAAGTCCTAAATGGGTTGGAACATGAGTATTTGAAGGAGCACCTCTCCTGGCATTAGCCTGCCTTTTGTCTAAGCATCAGTGGATGAAACGTGGGCCGAAAATAAATTTCAATAAATATATTAAATCAGTTAGTTGAATTTAGGACCTATTGAAATGAATGGGACAAATTAGTTATGATTAAGGCCAGTGTCCAACGCACTCATTCTGTTAGTGCAAGGATTCCCACTATTGCAATGGAAATCCTCCCTCCAGTCTTTGTGCATGTCCGGCACCCTCCCCAAATCTGCTCTAGAGGGTTGGGGGAACCCTCTAGGGTGTGGAGGTGTATATGGACAGAGGAAAGGGAGTTTGCATCTGGTACACTGGGTGCAAATATTAAGTCATGGGTGGCAGGGAAGCATGCAGGTCCACTGCCACACGACATGTATAGCTTTCCATAGCTGAGATTAGACACGAACCGGTAGCTAAATGCAGCGTTCATTATAAGAAAGTTTGCTGCATGACTGAGCACAGACTGCTTACGAAGGTTTTTTCACCTGCTTATGTCGGTCTGTGTTTCTGCTTCCACCTGCTTGGTGAAATTGCTTATTTTCTGTCTTGCTGGCTTATAATAACGGTACTGCGAAAGGAAGGACTTTGCATCCGATTTCAAAGTGCGTGGAGTGAATGGCTGCCGACCATTGGTGAAACGTTCAGAGTGCTTGTCAAGGAGATCCCCGCTGCACACTTTGGGTTCAGGGTTCGGGGCCTTGTGAGGATGCTTGTTTGCAATGCTGTCAGAAGAAGAGTTGGATGACATTTTGGAGTGCAACCTCTGGAGACTCGATGTATGGACACACGAGGTTGGGTCTGAGATGTTGGAGGCTTTCGGAGCATCTTTCCTGGCAGGATTTGCAGCATTCGGAAGGGCTGTGTTTTGCCTCTCTGGAGTTGCCTGGGGGCCCAACACACACCTTTGTTCACTAGGTGTACACGAGGGTAGCCCAACGTTGTCTTCTGCTTCCAAGGTATCCTAGCAGGGATTAAAAAATACATACACAGAGAGTAAGGCTCCTTCTGCTTTATTTCATTAAAAAGTACAGTCTTTTTCCCAGCTTTAATGTGTGCAGAGGAGGGCAGTCAAAATAATAAAGGGTCTGGAAACCAAGCCTTACGAGGAACAGTTTGAGGGAGTTGGGTGTGTTGGGCCTGGAAACGAGGAGACTGAAAGCAGATATGATAGCCATCTTCAAATATCTAAATGGCTGTCATGTGGAAGATGGAGCAAGCTTGTTTTCTCCAGCTCCGGCAGAGGCTAGGATCTGAACCAATAGATTCGAGTTACAAAAAAGGAGATTCTGGCTCAACATCAGGAAGTACTTTCAGACAGTAGAATGGACTCCCTTGGAAAGTGGTAAATTCTCCTTCATTGTCTCCTTCCTTGGACATTTTTAAACAGAGTTCGACAGCTATCTTTACTTGAGATTCCTGCATTGTAGGGGGTTTGACTACTTGACCCTGAGGGTCCCTTCCAACTCTAAAAGGTAAAGGGACCCTGACCATTAGGTCCAGTCGTGGCCGACTCTGGGGTTGCAGCGCTCATCTCGCTTTACTGGCCGAGGGAGCTGGCGTACAGCTTCCGGGTCATGTGGCCAGCATGACTAAGCCGCTTCTGGTGAACCAGAGAAGCACGGAAACACCGTTTACCTTCCCACCGGAGCGGTACCTATTGATCTACTTGCACTTTGACGGGCTTTCGAACTACTAGATTGGCAGGAGCAGGGACCGAGCAACGGGAGCTCACCCTGTCACAGGGATTCGAACCGCCGACCTTCTGATCGGCAAGTCCTAGGCTCTGTGGTTTAACCCACAGCACCACCCGCGTCCCTCTTCCAACTTTACAATTCTATTATTTATATGATTTTTTTCACATTTTTATTGCTCACTATGTATTTATTCTTTGTTAGCCACCTTGAGTATGGTACATGAACAGGCAGGTTATTAAACTGAACAATAAATGAAAGAACTTGCAACTTAATATCATCCCTTTAGATTTCTGGGGTTGTGATACTGCTAGAGAAGAAGCTCCAGCAGCAAAAAAATTAGGACCAGGTTCTTGAAAGCACTAGGCCCCAAGGCCAGATAGCATTTTTTTTGAGAGCGAGCGAGTGAGCAAACCAGCTAGCACTGAAACGGAACATTAAAAAACAAAATGCAGCACATGCACTACTGCCACACATACATGAAGTGCGGATTAAATACCTAAATAAATCACATTGTAGATTTAATGCATCTGAAAACTGAATGCTTCAAAGAAAACACCAGGCGTGCCACCTGCTTCCTTTCATCTTTCTTCATAGATTCATCAGGACTCCTCTTAGTTGGAAGTCTTGTGTCCTATGTGCCCACTTCTTATTAAGGACTCTTAGGTGGAAAGCACACCAGTTTCTCGTGGAGTGCTATAGCGTGGGTGGGTAGGAATGGCCCCGGGTGCAAAATTCTGAGGGAGTGCAACCCAGCACATTCACAACAGGCTCCCTCACCAAGGCCACGTGTCTGCCACCTTCCGGAGCCACAGGGAGACGAGCTGTGCTTGGGCCGAGCCATTGGGGCTGTGGCGGCACCTCCTGTTCGTGGCCAGCAAAAGGAATCAAAACAGCACATTCTGGGACGCCCATTCAGAATTTTTTTTAAACTGTGAAGAAACCTTCTCTTGCAGCTTCCCCTCCCACAGGAATTAGTATCCCCGCAATGTGTTTCCCATCTCCCGAATGTTTACCCACTCACAACTAGCATCAGTGCCGTTTGTTGGCAGGGAAACCAACTATTATTTGTTTGTTTATGGATTTCGCTTGGCCTTTCTACACGTAACTTCTAAGGTGGCTTACAAACAGTCTGGAAAATAATGCAAATGAAATGAAAACGATTAACATAAAAACCAGCTAAAAATCCAATGGCAACGAAAGCCGGCAACACAACCAGCAATAACCTGAGGTTATACACTGCTCCAAGGTTGGAAAAACAAAGTTTGTCATGGTGGCTAAAATATAACAGAGTAAGGACAGGCAAATGGTGTCTGGGGAGGGAGGGAGGGCACTGCAGATTTGGGGTACCATAGCAGAGGCATCACTGTTCCTTATTCCCAAGGACGGGGCTTCCAGAGCAGTGCCTCATTTGATGACCTCAGTGCATGGGCAGTTTTACAGTCACTAGATAAAATGTTGGTGGCAATGGGGATTTGCAATGGTGAGACCAAGCCCTAAAGGAAATCTAGGGAAGTTGTGAGAGCTAACCTAGGACACATCTTTGTCTTAAACCAAAATTATACTATTGATCCCCCTTTTTAAAAGAAACAACAGACGGATGCTGAAGATAGTATTTGGGACTGGATTCCAAATCAGACCACTTCCTATCACTTCATAATAGGGTACCAAGAATACAGGCCTCATTACTATGTGTCCTCTTTAGTGTCTTCTTTCAACTCCATTTATTCCTGCTTCTGGTCTTCAGCTGTTTTTTATTTAGTGAGATACAAAGATAGCCTGAAAGACACATCATCAAAATGCAGATGCTGCAGTTTTCTAGTGTACTGGAACTTCTAGCTAGCTTCATCTGAGAAAGCTACTTTGCAGTGCCTTTGAAAGCTGTGATTTATTTTTCACTGTCTCTTAAGGGTAGTTTGCTTGGTCTGAATATGATCGCATTTCCCTCTGATATGACACTTTTTTTAATGGGCTTGAAAAAAGAGGAATGCAGAGAAGACATAAAAGTAGTAGAAGACAAGTAGAATGTGGAAATAATCCATTAAAAAATAGCAATACAAATCTAAGGTAAAAGACCCCGGATGGTTAAGTCCCGTCAAAGGTGCTCATCTTGCTTTACTGGCCGAGGGAGCTGATGTTTGTCCACAGACAGCTTTCCGGGTCATGTGGCCAGCATAACTAAACTGCTTCTGGCGCAACAGAACACGATGACGGAAACCAGAGCGCACAGAAACGCTGTTTACCTTCCCACTGCAGCGGTACCTATTTATCTACTTGGAATGGTGTGCTTTTGAACTGCTAGGTTGGCAGGAGCTGGGACAGAGCAACGGGAGCTCACCCCATCACGGGAATTCGAACCGCCAACCTTCTGATCGGCAAGCCCAAGAGGCTCAGTGGTTTAGACCACAGCGCCACCCGTGTCCCTTTAATACAAATCTATACCTACAGTGGAACTAGACAAAAGGGAAACATGGCTTGTCAACTTTTGAAGAAGAATTGGGAGAGGGTTTATAATCCTTTTCCTGTCCACAAACTCTCCCCTGAAAATCCCTCCTGCCATTTTTAATGGATTTCCTCTCTACTGCTGTCTCCAAAACCAGAAGAAGGAATAGCACCCTGGTGGGGAGAAGTATGGAATATGCTTTAGAGAATTAGCAGACATGGGCTTGTGTACACTTCCTTCCTACTTGCCAATTCTCCCATGTAAGCATTCCTCCAAATCCCTATTACCTCCTATTGCAACAAGTGTTTTGGCAGTTCAACAGGGTAGTATCTCACTCAGCTGTTACTTGAGAGCAAGTTCCATTAAAATCAACAGGCTAGGAGTGCAAGAGTGATGTATGTTATGAAGCAAACTTACAAAACATCTAAAACAGAGTTGCTGGTTGGTAAGAAGAATGAAAAAGAATAGTACAAGAGTAGCCAAAATGGTGCCCTGCTGATGTTGTTGGGATACAACTCATTCCTGCCAACTGGCCATGTTGGCTAGAACTGATGGGAGTTGGAGTCCAACAACATTTTGAGGCCACCATTTTGACTACCACTGGACTATGAGACACAGTGGTACCTCGGGTTAAGTACTTAATTCGTTCTGGAGGTCTGTTCTTAACCTGAAACTGTTCTTAACCTGAAGCACCACTTTAGCTAATGGGGCCTCCTGCTGCCGCTACGCCGCCAGAGCATGATTTCTGTTCTCATCCTGAAGCAAAGTTCTTAACCTGAGGTAATATTTCTGGGTTAGCGGAGTGTGTAACCTGAAGCGTATGTAACCTGAAGTGTATGTAATCCGAGGTACCACTGTACATTATTTTGGGGAGGGGAGAGAGATGCAGACCGTTTTGTAATGCTGGAAACTCTAGATAATGGACCAGACTAAGGAATAATAATGGGAATGATAGCAAAAAAGAAGAACAATTGCCTTGAAGTATGAAACAGAATGAGCCACACATTTGAGGATGCTCAGAGCCAAACAAAAGCTCAGTACAGATAGATGTGCATTTTTAGAGGAGAAGCTTTTGGCCAGCTGTGGACAGCTGATAAGACCAACAATTGCTCTATTCTTGCTTCTGTCACCTCATGCCAACAAACAGAGCATAAATTACACAACTGAGACTTAGCGGTTATCATCTCAGTTTTGATATTATGTGATAACAAGCTATATTCCTCTCCACGCCACTCCACACCAAAGGAATTCCTGAGTGTTGTTTGGTTTTGGAAATAATTTTGATTAAAGATTTTCTTGAATTACAAAAGAACATGCAAAATCTCTCTTTTTTATCATAGAGTCTCTTAGTTACATTCAAAGACCAGTGATAACCATCCTGCTACTGTTTTATATCTTCCTATATCCGAAGTCTCAGGTTGAAAGAAAGATTTCATCACAAAAATGAGATCAATCATCCCCACTCCAACAAAATCTAACACACTCTTGGCTGTGTACTCTGACCAAGAACTTTAAAATGAGCCATTCCACAGTAGGGATTGGCCTGTTCAGCATGGCTATCAAAAACAGATTGTTTTTAGAGGCATAGGAGATCTTGTCCTTCTTGTTGTGTTATTTTGATGTGCTAAATATTATTAATACAATAAACCATACAACAAAAATTTGATAAAATCCAAAAGATCGGGAGTTCCCAAAATTTTGTCCCCATGAATCACTTGAAAATTGCTGAGGGTCTTAGTGAACCACTTACTGATTTTATCTTCCGCCTGTCAAAGCAGAATATAATGTGCTGTGCTACCTCCAAAATTTAACCGATGAAAATAGGGACGTCCTAAGGAAAAGCGGGACATTGTGGGATTGTGGCTTCCAGGGACTGTCCCTGGAAAATAGGGACACTTGGTGGGTCTCTGCTAGATGCTGTAGAATTTCTAATTGTATTTTCTTAGCTTTTGATTTTTTTCTTGTACTGCAATTTGAATTCCATAGAACGCAATATAAAACATGATAATAAATAATACAACAAATGTAGAAATACAACAGAAGGAATAAAAATACAATTAAAAATCAACAAGAACAATTAATGCATTCTGCCCACCATTCATAGCTGCTTCTCTCATTGTTCATCATAGACCTGCCACTGAGGAACACCTGAATGAAGCCCATGGGCCACTGGTGATCCATGGACCACAGTTTGGGAACCCCTGCAACAGATCAGTCACCACTCAAATAACAAAGATATGAGACATCAAAATCGCAACAATGGGGCAAGAACAAAAGAAAGTGTTTCCAAGTGAAAGAATTATGAAGTGCTCCTTAGCTGCCTTCTGACCTTCAGTGGGTCAATTTCCACAAATACACCTGCAGAACAGAGCCCTGTACAATGAGAAGGAATTAGAAAAGTTGGGTTGCAGATAAAACTAGGGAGTCAGCACTCCTGAAGGCTTTGTCTGACTTTGAACTGCAGAAAGTCATTCAAGATTTACAGAAAACCATGAATCTGTACAGGCGACAGACACATCCTGTTCCTAGGGGACTCTTCCCATGGCTTCGATTCCATACTGAAGCATGAAACTAGAAGAAAGATACAGCTAACCTTCAGCAAAACATATATATCTTTCACACAGATCCCACTGAGTGGTAGAAGCGCTATTGAATAACCCTGACAGCACAAAACAAACCACAAAGCTTCCTAGTTTTGCCTCTCTGCCCAGCCACCCAGACCCAGTCTTAAAAAATACTGCGATCTGCACAAATAGGATATGTTTTATTGAACAGGAGAACTTTGTAACACTTGCTCAACCTGATGAATTGCAACACGTCAAGGACACGGCTGTCATTTTTTCAGTGCACGTAGGTTGCTTTAAGAATTTCTGCATTACACGGGAAGAAGTAAAAAGACTGATTTGGATATAGCTCAAAGTGTATGGTACACACCACTTGCCAGTTTGTAACATAGTATTTTGACTCAAAACATTGGGCTGAATCAGACAATGCTAAACTATACAGTGGTACCTCGGGTTACAGACACTTCAGGTTACAGACATTTCAGGTTACAGACTCCGCTAACCCAGAAATAGTACCTTGGGTTAATAACTTTGCTTCAGGATGAGAACAGAAATCGCACGGCAGCATGGCAGCAGCGGGAGGCCCATTAGCTAAAGTGGTACCTCAGGTTAAGAACAGTTTCAGGCTAAGAACGGACTTCCAGAACGAATTAAGTTCTTAACCTGAAGTACCACTGTACTGCAACATTCTGAGAATGCACTGCAGGAGCCCCCAAGCTTCTGTGTTCCCTTCTCCTTGGACACAAGGAAAATTGGAAGTTTTCACTTCTGTATTCCAAACCATAGTTTGCCATGCCGCCTTAACCCACAGAAACTGTGGTTAATCTTAACTTTGGTTAGCAGAAAAACCAACTTCAAACCATAGTTTTGTAATTATAGTTTTTTTGTAATTTTGTAATTATAGTTTTATAATTATAGTTAAGATTAATCCCAGTTTAGGGTTCTGATGTCATGTTAAACTATTTTTCCTTCTGTTTTAAAGTAACTGCAGTTTAGCATGTTGTTCAAATCCTAAATTCTGACTCCACAGTTTAGCGTTGGGAAAACATGTGCTTAATCAAAAATAGAAGCAAATTCTTCTGACCTCTTCCTTGTAGCTTTGCCCTAGGAGATAGGAGAAGGACTGGGGACGGGACATTTAGTTCTCCAAAGCTGATTCTCATAATGCTAAACCAGGGATAGGGAACCTATCGCTGTCTAGATATTCTTCAACTCCAACTCTCACAAGTCCCAACCAGAAAAGCCAACGGTCAAGGCTGATGGGAAATGTAGTCCAAAAACCCCTGAAGGATCACAGGTTCCCCATCCCTGTGATCCATAGTTTAGTGTTACATCAGAACAGAGCAGATGTATTTTAAATCCCAAATCTGGCATAGATCCAGCATTCCCAGGGGCTTTTCAAGCTCTAAGGTTTGTTTATTCAATTTTATTGGACAACAAAACTAGTTATAGATGAGGCTTTCCGTTTACATGAACAATTTTTCATACAGGCCAGAAAATTCTACTATATCATATTAGGATATCTTAAATAACAATTGAGCAATGTGCCTATCCAGTTTATAAGATGCTTCATTTACTCTTTCACATGGGCAACTATTGCAAAAAGCAGCTGGTGATCTCTCTGAGTGCAGGGATTCTGAATGGAAAAACTGGGATCACATGTAGCCTTATGTCTGCAGCAGGTAGATGCAACTGCAACACTAAATACTAATGCTAAAGCTAATAAATGCAAACTCGCTGATGCATGGAAGATTAGATGCCAGCGCTCATCACTATTAATGAGAAGAGAATGCAAATGAACACCACTTAAAAAGAAGCAGAATAGAAGAGAAAGTCAGGTGGATAATCAATGCTAAGACGGGCTAATTTGTTTGGACATTGAGTTTGTTGGTTATCCAGGAAAGTGTATTTATTATACTTAGATGGAGTAAAACCTCAGAAATTTCTATTCATCCATCACTGACTGCTCATAATACCACAAAGTGCTTAGACAGTACAAATTCATATAGTGTAATTATTTAATGACTTTTCATTCTGTTGTCTGAATATTAAGATTCATTATAATTTACTTTCCTGACCCCCAATAGCTGAGAAATTATGAACAGCCTGATTTAGAAGATGAATGTCATCTAATATGTAATCTCTTACAGCAATTGAAGCAGATCCTAGTTAAATTGATGGAATTTAAAGATAAAACAGGTGAGCAGAATCTCCACACACCCTGCTTGTTGCTGGGATGTAATACTGAGACAGGTTGCTCTGCTTGCCACACACTGGGTGCCTGCTATAAGTAAGAATTGCATAAACTACTCCCTACACTTTTGCTTCTACAGATATCTTAGACTTGCAGCTTGATCCTAACCATGTCTACACAGAAGTAAAACAGATGAACAGGGGATCCATCGGCTTGTAGACCTATTACAAAAGTATTGCCAATTTATATGCATAGATGACTCTAGGCATTAAGATGGCGAATGGCTGGGATCTCACCAGCACTGTGCTTTGCAGTCTGCCCAGATCTGGGGCTCATCGCAACAGACCCACAACTTGGGCCCCCAACCCACCCCTTAGCACCTGTGGTACAAGTGGAGGATCTCATTTCTCAACCCAACTCCCTCTTCCAAAACAACACTAACTGCACGGCATGAAAATGAGTAGGTTCTAGACTTACGCTTTTTAGACAGATGGTATTGCAGTGGCACAGAATAAGCCATTTTAGCATCTAAGCAGTACATAAATGAATGAATGAAACAGCTGCATCTAAGGCAGCCAAAGGTGCTTCAGGGTGGAAGGTGCCACCAACCCTGCTTTTCCAGTTGCACATATGCTGTATTTGGCAACAGAGGTTGTTTATTATTATTATTTTATTATTATTTATTGAATTTATATACCCCCCTATACATGGGGGTCTCAGGGCGGTTCACAGATTAAAATCAAGATATAAAACCACAAAATATATAATAAAAATTAAAACAACAACCCAATAGCCTCCCCCACCCAAAAAACCACATTTTAAAAATGGTATAGGATGTAGATCAGGTCAGGCAAAGGCCTGGTTAAAAAGGAACGTTTTTGCCTGGTGCCTAAAGGCACCCTCTGGGCCTCTTGAGGAGACAGCACATGAAGAAGGGCCTCAGAAGATGATCTCAGGGTCCACGTAGGTTCATATGGAAGGAGGCAATCCTTGAGAGGTATTGCGGTCCTGAGCCGTTTAAGGCTTTATCAGTTGTTATCAGTGTTGATGAATATTGACCCACACGGTTTCATCAATGCAAAGTCCTGGGTCAGTTACCACTGTATCACAATGAAATGGCACTAGGGGTGGTCATGTGTTAAGGAAGAAGTGAGATTGTGCCCGCCGACAACACTCCTCCTCTTCCTGCATGTTTGACGTACATGAGGGCCCTAAGTGCACCATCACAAAGCTCTTCCACATGAGGAAGGCGAAGAAACGCACAGCATGTTGATGTCACGGAATGAGGCCTGTTATTCTGCATGTTAAAGGGAAACGATGAGGAGTGTTGAATATGCAGGAATGCCATTTTCAGTGGTGTTCAGAGGCAGCCCAGTAACTCACACAATGCGTACTTGCCTAAAAGCAATGTGTGTGCAAGCAAAGGTAGACCTGTCTGAATTATGGCTGACTCCCAGCTGCTCAGCCCCACTCCTTACCCCAGAGGATTTTGGTGGGAGAGCTTCTGCCTTGCATGAAAGCAGAGAAGAACAAAGAATGAGGGCAGGAAACATTGCCTGGATAAACCTAGTTCTATGCGGACACCATGCAATTTCAGTTCCTGTAGTGGACTTGATTGCAATTTTATTTTGAGCATCGTTCACAAGCTATTTCGGGAGCTTCTCGGGGCTATAAAATGAGACTGAAGTATTCTAAATAAATGCATTTAAAATGTCATATTCTACTTCTTCCTATCTCACTGGTAGAAAGAGCACTTATTTTTAAAGTCTCACATATGTCTTGTAAGACACCTGCATTATTGCAAACCCCACATAAACACGGTCAAAGCAGTAGTTTGCTAGCAAGTGCTGCAGAGCATCTCAAGGTTATAGAAGTATCTTCATCCATGGGCTAAGAAAGACATAACAACATCCTTGATGCGAGAAAATAACAGTGACTAAAAGATGAAAGCTCACATATTTTATCTGACATTCCTCTCTTCTTCTTCAAAACAGAAAACAGAAGTAACTACTGTGCATATTGCATCTCCAGCACCAACAATATTCCAAAGCACAATTATTTTCCAGAAACCTAATAATGTCATCACTCACATTGTCAGATACCAAATAGTCATGCAAGAACCAACCAGCTAATGGCCAGCATTATGCAGCAGCTGGATGCAAAATACACCCCGGTGCATATTTTAAACCGAAAATGAATCCCGTCAATTGTTTCTCCTGCTCTCATTGCTATGAAAACAACATTATTCTTCCAAGTGTTTGTCTTACAAAAAGATTCCTCTCCTGGCTAACATAATTCTACCCAGTGCTAGTCAACAAGTGTAGCTATGAGACCAAAAGTTTACAAGAACTAGTAATTTGATGTGCTATTATTCAACACGACAATGAAAGCAATTAGAATGAATCCTTCTCTGACAGGATTGGAATCAAAGGCTAATTAAAAAATAAAAATCATTATACCTACTTTTCTATAGGTGGCTGACAGTGGTCTTCTACTCTCCCTGGAACTAGATCGGGACCCATTTTTAGATGAAATCATCTCCTTTTCACATTTTTCGACTTCTTTCTTGAGTTTCTCTCTTCGCTGCTGGTCTGAAACTTAAGGTAAGGAAAAATGAACCAGAGTTAAAAACAGAGGGATTCATATTAAGGCTCCTTTTAGAAATTAAATTACTGAGCTATTATGTGTTGTGATGGACTGAGGAAATTGAAAGTTTTGAGATATAGTCCAGAAATGTATGCTTCTCAGTTTAATTATGTATCACATAAGTATTATCATCACCCATCTGGGTCTACTGCCACACAAATAGTTATGTGTAACAACTGCAATTCTCCTCATCCCTGGCCATGATTGCTGAAATTGATGGGAGTTGAAGGCCAGCAACATCTGGAGGGTGAAAGGTTCCCCAGAACTGGAATAATCAAATACAAATAAACAAATAAAACAGTTGCTTCCTTAAAGTCAATTGGAATTTCATTTGTACTTCAACAGTACTAAGATGAACTATTATTTTGTTGTGGTTAACAGAAATGAGACAAATAATATTTACTTGGCAATGTCACGTATGTGTCATATATATGCTGAAGACGCCCCTCTGGCCTTTTGACAGCTAAACTTTTAATAATACAGCCTACCTGGAAATTATTAATTAATGTATGACAGTTTTCAGTTGGTGGTTTTGTTTGCTTTTAAATTGGATTATTCATGTTGTTGTAACCCAAACTGGCAGCTAATGCCATAGGTTGGGCAAGGAATCAAACCAAATGAATAAGTATCAGTGGGGCTTCATTAAGAACATATTAAACACACAGGTTGGCAGCTAAAGTTATATTTCACTCTCATAATCAATTTGAGTCAAATGTAATCCAAGAAGCTTGGACTTCATTTTTCCTCTAAATTGTTAACAGTTATTTCAGCTTTCAGATAAAGGGCAACTAGGTGGACAACTTGTGGTTTCTGAAAAATGAGTAAGGTAAAAAAGGTAAAGGGACTCCTGACCATTAGGTCCAGTCATGACCGACTCTGGGGTTGCGGCTCTCATCTCGCTTTACTGGCTGAGGGAGCCGGCATACAGCTTCCAGGTCACGTGGCCAGCATGACTAAGCCACTTCTGGCGAACCAGAGCAGCGCACGGAAACGCCGTTTACTTTCCCACCGGAGCGGTACCTATTTATCTACTTGCAGTTTGATGTGCTTTCAAACTGCTAGGTTGGCAGGAGCAGGGACCGAGCAACGGGAGCTCACCCCGTTGCGGGGATTCAAACCGCCAACCTTCTGATTGGTAAGTCCTAGGCTCTGTGGTTTAACCCACAGTGCCACCTGCGTCCCCCGAAAAATAAGTAGACATTCCTTTAAAATAAACACAGGATCTGAAGCATTCTGCGGAAGTGAGTAATTCAGTGTGGCACAAAGTATACAAAGTCAATGAGGCCATACTTCTGTGAAGTGATCTGTGAATCATCTTTATGGATGACACAATAGATATCTGTTAATTAAAATGATAGGAACCCTTCTGGCTTCATTTCTTCTGGCTGCTCATACAATCAGACACACTATCTTTTATATGACTGCATATGGAAGAAAACGCGGTGAGTGACTGCATAAATCCACACATCAATTTGTTATAGCTAAAACTTTGGCTCAAATCCAAAGAAAGTTAGTAACCTGAATGTTCCATTGAACTTAGTAGGATTCAAATGAGTTACAACAAGTTTGTCATAGTGATCTCTATGTAAATTGAAACATTGCAAGTTTCCCCTGGGTTTGGGTCAATATGTTTTATATTTAAAATGAATGTACAGTAATTCAAGTGTGCTTTGGATTGCACATGTGTAGTTGTAGTAGTAGTAGTTATTGTTGTTGTGTTGTTGTTATTAGAATTTATATACCACCCTATACCTGGAGATCTCAGGGCAGTTCACAGGACAAAATCAAAATATAAAACCACAAAAGATATAATCAAGATAAAAACAACAACCCAATAACCCTCTCCTCCAAACATCCCCCCCCCATTTTAAAAGGGCTGTCAATCAAATCAACCAAAGGCTTGGTTAGAAAGGAACATTTTAAAAGTTTTCATCCATAAATGATCAAAGAGGAAAGTAAGAGGTGAAACTTTGGAGCCAGTGGATAAAATTTATTTATGTCAGCTTGGCATTTTCTTACAACATAACGCTTATCAAATACAAACAAAACCAAGCCAATTTCTTCAAACCCATTAGAACAGCAGAGAAGCCTTACTGGATCAAACCAAAGGCCTACCTCTTGCTTGCACAGTGGCCAACCAGATGATGCAAGGAAGCCCACAACTGTCCACTCCCACTCATGTCCCCAGCAACCAGCATTCAGAGGCATGCTACCTACCTCTGATCCTCATGGTTACAGAGAACCACATGACTAACAGATGCTGATAGCCTTTTCCATCATGAATTTATCTAACCCCCTTTTAAAGACAATGAGCATAAACCACCGCATGTTCTCTAAGGCAGACCTTCTAACAATGAACAGTTGTGCAATGCTACAAATTCTTTTGTGCAGGAAGCTTTCCTGTTGAAAGCTTTCCTACCCCAAAAGATGTAAGATGGGAGTATAAAGAAGGAAAGGTATTGGAAAGGTGTTATTGATTTCACAGGTGGGGTTTATTTAAAGTATTAAAGCAAAGCACTCAGTGCCGCCATTTAAAAATTCCAGGTACAATTTTGATACGCAATTTTCAAGCAGAACCAAACGTATGTTCCAAAGATATACTGTTTTCTTTTCAGGAAACCAGCAAATTATGACACTGGACAACAGTCAGAGAGCACCAGCCTCGTATGCAGAAGGTTGCTGGTTCAATCCCTGGCATCTTCAGGTACAGCCAGGACATTGCTGTGGAGCTGCTGCCAGTCCCTGTAAACAATACTGAACTGGACAGACCAATGGTTTGGCTCAGTAAATTCTATATTCTGCCCATGGATAAGAAGATGGCTCCAACTGCCATGTAGCACTGCAAGACGATGCATGCATACATCACCTAATGAATGCACAGAAATAGCTAGAAAAATAATGAGTCTGTAGCTTGAGAGCAGATACAGTGGAATTACAGGAGGGATATATTTTTTAATTTGACAAGCAGATGGGTTTCCCTCCCCCCACCTTTGAGTGATACAGTTTGGTGCCCGGCAAGCTCATAATTTTTCAAATCATTACTCCAAAAGTTGCACATGCATCAACTGTAAAAGTATATTCCTTTATTGTGTTCGCACAGGAAATGCGGGAGACAGGCAGACAGCTGGTCTAAAAATGGTAATTTCAGATCAGCCAACACCTGACATGACATTTTCTGTCACATATTGGCTATAAGTCCAATGAATGAATGAATGAATGATTGAATGAATAAGCAAGCAAAGCAGGAAGGCTCTGAAGAAAGATGACAGGTTTTCCACCACAGCCTGGCAGGCAGGTATTAAAGAGAAAGAGTAAAATATTCCTACTCTCTTCTATGTTATTATGGAGTGTTTTAACAGCAATGAAGTCATCCGAGTGGGATTGGCTCACCCTCAGAGTCCGACCTTATTTGAGATCTGTGGAGAATTCCCCCTCCCCCAAAGCCAAATTAGGTAGCAACCTGAAAGGATTGATGGGATATTTTCAGTGTTAGTCCTACTCAGAGCAGACCCATTGAAATTAATGGAGATGACTAACAGAGAACCATAGAGTTGGAAGGGACCCCAAGGGTCATCTATGAAAGGACAATGTATTTTAAAAAAGAAAATACCATAGTATGCCTTCAGAAAAGTTTTTAGAAGACAAATGCCTCGGAAATACGTACGTTTTATGCTGTTTAACCTGCTTTTTGGTACTGAGCAGTCTACAGCAGCTGAAAAACAAACAACATACCATTAAAGTGAGTGAATCAACATTCTCTTTGAAGATTTGCAATAAACAGACTTTGCTTAACGTCAGCTTATTGGTGGGATGTATTTTCGCCAAAGCTACTAAAAATGCAAAAAAACTTCTATGGCTGAAACATAATGGCCAGTCTACATTTTAAATGTTTTCACTCATTTAACTAGCTTTTTGGTTTTAATGAATCCGGTTAGCTGTGCTAAAGAATGAAATAAAAAGCTTGTGACCGGCTTTTGCAGAAGACGGGCGTCGTAATGAGGATTCCGTGCTGTACTTCAACATCTCTGAACTCTTATTACAGAACGGTAAGGCCTGTAACTGTAGCTGTGGATACGTACTGTTCCCTGACACAGTATTACTTAATAAAGAATGTTTGTTCCTGTCCAAGGCTTTAATGGGTATGGAACTTGAGTATTTGTGCCCATGAAGCGACTGCAGAGAATGTGGTCAGTGGTGCATGGAAAACCACCAACATCTGAATGACCACATCAGCATATTCTAATGGTATATTTATTCAAGGCCGCACTCAGATACATACAGAGCATCTAGTTTCCAATACTGTTAGTCCTACGAATCAGCCCCATCTGAAGAAAGAGGTACTTTTACAGTCTATTTATCAAGCAAGATGCTAAAGTATGGATCACAGTATAATTAAATGTTTTGGGCACCCAAAGCAGTGTTTAAAATTTGCACTGCCAATTAGGAGTTTTTATAGCCATAATCAAGTAAAGAGCTGATGCGCTTTAGCCCACTGATTTCAAGACCAAAGCATGGCCTGACTGGGCACTGAATCGCAGGAAGTGGTCTTAGTGTCAGACCATTGATCCATTTGGCTCTGAATTGTCTGCAACGACTGGTAGTGGCTAGCCAGTGTTTCAAACAGGGGTCTCTCCCAGTCCTACCTGAAGGTGATGGGGATTGGGGTAACTGTGCCCCTGAAGGACCAGGTGCGCAGCCTGGGAGTCATTTTGGACTCACAGCTGTCCATGGAGGCACAGGTCAAATCCGTGTCCAGGGCAGCTGTTTACCAGCTCCATCTGGTACGCAGGCTGAGACCCTATCTGCCCACGGACTGCCTCACCAGAGTGGTGCATGCTTTGGTTATCTCCCGCTTGAACTACTGGAATGCGCTCTGCGTGGGGCTACCTTTGAAGGTAACCTGGAAACTACAACTAATCCAGAACGCGGCAGCCAGACTGGTGACTGGGAGCGGCCGCCGAGACCATATAACACCGGTCTTGAAAGACCTAAATTGGCTCCCAGTATGTTTCCGAGCACAATTCAAAGTGTTGGTGCTGACCTTTAAAGCCCTAAATGGCCTTGGTCCTGTATACCTGAAGGAGCGTCTCCACCCCCTCATTCTACCCGGACACAGAGGTCCCCGCTCTGTGGAACGCCCTCCCACCAGATGTCAAAGAGAACAACAACTACCAGACTTTCAGAAGACATCTGAAGGCAGCCCTGTTTAGGGAAGCTTTTAATGTTTGATGTATTACAGTATTTTAATATTTTTTTTGAAAGCCACCCAGAGTGGCTGGGGAAGCCCAACCAGATGGGCGGGGTATAAAATAATAATAATAATAATAATAATAATAATAATAATAATTTTGCATGCAAAGCAGATGCTCTAATACAGATGCTATAGCCCTTCTTAGCCCTTGCTGAGGCTTAGCAGCGCCTGGATGGGAGACCATGTGATGGAAAGGTTTGTTTACTGAGCAGGTTGAGTCACCTGAGTGCCCCGCCAGCAAACAGTTAACCAGCAACAGCTTCTGATTGGCCAGAGTTCCAAGGGAGGCAGTTGGAGTGGAGTGAGAGGTGGTGTGAGAGATTCATGGGGTCGGATTCTGTCAGGAGAGTTCGTTCTGACAGGTGGTAGAGCTGAGGAGAGCCAGAACTCTCAGTATATGCTCTAAGGTTCTGAATTGCAGAACACAGTTAAAATAGAAAAGACACAGTCCCACATGGTGTTTACAGGAAAAAGGGTCCTCTGAAGGAATACTCTGACAGGAAAGGGCAGTATTGATTTTGAGGCCAAGGAGGATTTGGGGGTCTGTAAGGGAAAATCCTAAGTTCCTGAAGTGTGAGTGGAGAAATCTGATCTATGAAAGATGTATAAAAGAAAGTAACCATAAGCTTAAACAGCATACAGCCTATAACTTGAAACAGTATACGTTTTAATAAAAAGCAACAGCACTGTTTGTTGCATTGCTGTGGAAGAAGGAGGAATAAAACTCCTTGTTTACATCTGTTATAATAAAGTTTGTTTGCAACCTGTTTTCCCAAAAGAAAAGCCCACCGTCGCTCATAATTCATTCTCCATTGGGGATTTCACAGCGGCACCAGGGAGAGAGAATGCCATTGCACCATTGCACTTGAGAACTCTATGCCACCTTGAGTTGCAGTCATGGAATTCTAGAGCTGGAAGGAACCTCAGAGGTCATCCAGACCAACTCCCCCACCCTTTTTCAGTGCAGAGACGCAACTACAGCATCCCTGAGAGATGGCTGCCCGGTCACTGCTTAGATGTCTCGATGTCGTGGATTGGCTGCATACAGAGTAGTGGGAGGCTCCACCTAGCGAACCCCCAAGGGAAGAAAGCTCAGAGCCAGGGGACTGGTGGTGGAATGGTGAGGAGTGGTCCGAGGATGAAGAGGGAGGAGACTGGGAGGAAGCTGAAGAGGTAACAGTGGTGAGCAGGAAGAGGCAGAGGGCAGTCCAGAATCAGAGGCAGAAGCGGAGGCTGAAGAGGAGTGGGGCAGGCTTGTTGGAGAAGCCAGGGAGTCTCTCTCTCTCCTGCTGTGAGCATCTTCCTCCCTCCCTGGTCTCCCAGAACATGGAATGAAAAGGGCAGAGCAGAGAGAGACAAGATGAAGGAGTCTCAGGTTGCTGGGGAAGGACCTGGGGGAGGAGTCTTAAAGAGCAGTGAGAAGTCCTTGCAACTGCCTAACTAGGGCAACACTAACTGGGAAGAGTTGTTGTGATCACTAGGCCTGACTGTTTTGGTTTCTTTGAAAAAAAGAGTTAACTTCACTGACACCAGGTGTTTTATGGCTGACCTTCTTCTGACTTGACTCCTGGCACCCTAGCGAAAGAAAGCCTACCGCCCCCTGAGAGAATCGTAATGGGGAAAGGATGGGATACAAATGCACTAAGTCAATAACCAAAAGTGGTCTGAGTGATGAGGTGGTGCCACGGAGTCACATGGGATTGGGCAAGGCAGCACTGCCAGCTCAGGGCAGCAAGGGCACATGGACGGAGCCAACCCAATGTTCTCCCTGGTGTGCCTACACAACCCCAAACTTGCCACTGATGTGACCTAACCTCACATCCAGGTCAGCTGCGGTTCCGCCAGCACTGACACCATTCCACTACACAGGCTGCTATTGTAAGTGCATGTGTGTGTGTACATGCACAGTAGACTGTGCTTGTTCAATCAGAAGTTAATTTCCCTCCTCACCTCCTTCTGTGAGGCAAAAGTAGAATTCTGTCGGGTACAGGGGTGCTAGTAAGAAGCAAAGGGATCTGTGGGGTGGCTGGGAGTCACAGGTCCACTGTGCACTGGGTGGGTGTGTCAGAAAACTGGGGGCATGCTGTAGTCTAACTCCTCTTCTTTCCTTCCTCTCTTCTGCCCACAAATGCCCCTTCCCTGTTACAAAGCTATCTATAGCGCAGCATTGCATCCACACCATCTGTAACCATGGTAACCAGGGTGAGATGCAGGTTTGCGGATTCTGGCTAACCACATGGTTAATGTGGTAAAATTATGCAAACGTAACACTGCACTGTGGGTGGCTCTGAAAAGGAAGGAGGCAGGCACCCGGTGCAATGCTAAGGCACTGCCTCTGGACGAGAACCAAGGAGCTGTGGTTTTCTTAAGCTTTGCTGTAGGGTGGGCACTTGTCCTCTCCCCATCCCCTTAATACTGGGCAGTCCTCTTTTCACTCTGCTACCTCCTACATTTTCAAGAGGACAGCGCTTGGTCCTCTGTTTGCCATTCCATCTTGAATTTGGGGAATTATCTGGACGTCAAGATTTTCATCAAGTACTCCAACTTGCATATATTCCGCTGCATATTCTAAGCTTCCATTACAACACAACAACACCAGTGAAGTTCAACCCTCGCAGTTACAGAGAGAAAAACTCAAGCAAGATAATGCACAGGTTCCACCATGATGTTCATTTAACAAAGAAACGCTCTCCTCCTGTTTTAAGCAAAAGGCCTCAAGTTGGATTGACAAGCCAGAGAAGCTGCCAACAGCAATTCTATCCCCTGAGTTGGCCTGTGAGGGGAAGGGGGCAAGACTCTTCCACTTACCGTGGTTGTATTTCAAAGCAGTGACTTTACCTGCATGACTGTCCAGCACACTGGGAAGGCTGGAAGATGGGGGAAGACTATTCATGATAGAAACACGTGACTGTATTGAGCTGTCGGCTGTCAGCTCCAACAGCAACAGGCTGGTTGGAATGATAAATCAAGGCATTCTGGGTTTAATTCGAACCAAGTCTTTCCAGAGGCCTCAGCTTTGGAGAAGTAGCAATAATAACCAAGATTATATCTGACCATGTGCAGAGTGCTGAGTCTTCACTACTGTGAAACTCCAGTCGTTCCCTGAATATCTAGGGCTGGGGACAAACTTCCCAGTCACCTGGATGCATGAGAGGCTGAAACAGTTGTCAACAACAGCCGGGACAACTGCCAATTGGTTCTTTCCCTGCCAGAACTGGCTCCATCCGCCGACGTTCCTCTTGGTTGCTCCAGAGGGAGAAATAAGCTTAGCAAGCCCCATTCTGTGGGCTCAAGTGAAGGGATCAGTCACCATTTGGCTCACTCCTCTGTCAGAGATGTCTCCATCAGCAGCAGAAGAGATGAACAAGCCCTCTTCCATCAGCCTGGCTAGGGCCAACTGCCACTGGGCTTCTCCCTCCCCAGAACTGTCTCATGCTATTCTGTTATGTCTTCCCATGAAAAGGTTGGTGCTTTGAGCTTGCTTCTTTTCCTCTTCCCTCCTGATTTTTCCTTCTTATACCCTTTCATCATAAACTATATGCCTCTCTGGGCGCCATGACAGAAATGCAGTATCTAAAAAAGCAAATAGCATGGCATCCAAGAAAGCTTGAGTTTTATGAGAACAGGAAGAACCAAGCGAAGGGAAACACAGACCAAGCCCAGGGGGTCGGAGGGAGGGCTATAATGATATTTTTGCAGCAAATCCAGGAGATAGTCTCCTACTATTGGACTGCACTGTGACTATTAGGCTCCATTCCCATTCTTCTTTCCTCCTCCCTCTTTCTCTCCCTCCACTCCTCTCCCCTCCACCGGCCAACTGTCTTCTCATCCCCTCCATCAATTGCTGCCCAAAGTAGCGCCTTAGAAATATGAATTACCTAAACAAGAGAACTCCCCTCCCCCTCCAGGCACAATTACAGAGATAAATGACCTGCTGCACAGGGCACAAATGAGATATGTTAATTTAGTGCGCCTAATTTGCACATTCATAATGTATGCTACCTTCGGCACCTTTTGGACTCCTCAGCAGCAGCTGTTTCCCTTGGAGAGGGTCACTTTGAGACGCGAGTGAGGGCCAGCATCTCAACCAACTTTTGTTTGCACAGATATCCACATCTGTCTTGCCTCTAATCTGGCAAGTGGAAGGTGTGTATGTGTTAGTTGGCATTCCTTGGGGCAACAGGTTTTGCCAGAAGGGACTCAGGGCATGTCAAAAGTGGCATGATCCTGGTCAGTCAGAAAACACCCATATCTTTTGGCCCTCTCCTGCTCTCTTTTCAGGACTAACAGCTGTGGTTAGTTACTGTTCCCCTGCCCCCTGCCATTGTGCCTTGACTGCTTCCCCAAGAACAGCTACACTCAATGCAGGAAAACAAGCAGCGCTGCCCTTCTTACATCCCTAGTAGTGGTTCCCCCCCCTTATTTTCTGAATTTCTGATGATACACATAGATCACAACGGCTAGAAAGTTAAGGATTTATTTATTTTTTAAAAAGTGACATGAAACTGATAGTACCAGTTTACACCCTGGGCAGACGATGCTTATGAGCTCAGGAGCTGGGAATTAATTTTGTGCAATGAAGCATGCAATTGGAGGAGGTGCACTTCAACAAAACTATTGGCTGATTTGTTTCACAGTGATGTTCACTGAACTGTACAGTTTTCTTCATAAAGCTGGTAGGCGTGGGGCAGCTTGTTAGATTTGGGTGCAGGAGAACTGGGTTCAAATTTACACCAAGGGTGAACATCCTGGACAGCTTTGGGTTCTCAGTTTCTATTCTAAGTTTGCAAAATAGGGATAACATGTCAGGGGGCTTGTAGTGAGGATACATAGCTCAGAGACTGTAAAATACCTGGCCCTATAAATTGCACCTTTAATGAAATTATTTTTTAGAACCATCTATTAAGGTCTTTTGAGCTGTTTAACCCAGTATTTGCAATTATGGTCGACATTTTAAAAATACAAAATGGATACAATTGTTTGGTATAGACTTGTTTTTCTAAGTCACATTGAGTTCATTTTTTTTTAAGCGACTAATATATGTAAATGATTTCATTTAATAACAGGGTGAATATTTTCTGCAAGATGACTAAAAAGTTGTTATATGTAATTTATGTGGAAAACAAATGGATTTGGAGACTAGTTTGATTTGACTGGCTGAGGCTGAAATCTTAAACACATAGTGCAAGTCTATATTTGTCTAGTGAGAAGAAAGCCCCACTTAGTTCAATGGGACTTATTTCCAAGTGAAATGTATCTAGGATGGCAGGTGTAATGAGGAGTAATTGAACACAAGGGGCCTTTCTTTCTTCTGGGTAAACATGCATACAATTGCATTGCAAACCCAGGGACCTGAATGGAATTACTACAAATCTGAAAATACATAAGGCAGATGTGTGAGTAACCCCATCTAAAAAGGTATTAAATATTAAAATCAGAATGGTTTTTTTGTTGTTGGCATCTGTCTGTCTTGAGAGACAATGGATTGCGCCTCCTGGGGTGAAGTCAAACCTCTGCATTAGCAACACTGAAGGGATCTCCCTGGGGCACAAGTATGTACGGAGGTCCTGGACTTCCCAGAAGACAAGACACCCCCCTTCTCAGCCTTGCTGATGTGCTCCAAAGGAAAGCAGAGCAATACGTCTGGCACTGGCTTGGCAGCAGGAGTTGCTGGAAGGAGACATACAAGGCACCATCCTACTGTCTTAGGGGCTCCACTCAGGATTTGTATAGGGTTTACTCCTTAGCCTTTTCTTCTTCCGCAAGGCAGCAGAGGTGTAGGAGCAGAGTTTTCCTTCTCCTAGATGGGCTACCTTCCCAGGTTGATGAGCCCCATCTGCCCCTCACTTCCCTCTACAGATACAGCCTTCTTGCCCGTTGGACCCACTAAATGGTTCTCGTCCACTCAATCTGCCAGAGCCTATCTTTGCATACAGGGAAAAGTCCATAGCTCATCAAGAGTTTGAGGCTTCTGATGGGGAGAATGATGTACATGAGTTAAAACCCAGCCAAGTTAAGACAGCCAGCACCTCAGTCCAAGTCCCTCCTCTCAGCCATGTCACTTTCACTGGACTCTTCCCAGTTGTGCCTGTATGGACCTCTCCCTTCCACCCACCGAAGAGGCAGCCACTGGGATGCTCACCAGCTGCCAATGGGAAAGCCCTGAAACAGGGCATTCTGAGGACAGGGAGGGTCCAAGCCAGCCTTGCTCCCATCACATGACAACACTGGACTCCATCTGGGCCCAACGGCAGCATCAGCTCCAGGCTGGCACAGCAATCTGCCTGCCCCACTTTTCACCTCTGCTTCTGTGTGCAGCAAGGCTCAATTCAGCCTAGCAGTCAATTTTAGTATTACCCCCTAAGTATCTGCAGACAGAACAATGCAGATCATACTTGGAAACCATTGTGTGTGTGTCTGAACACACAACATTTGAAATTAAAGCTCATTTAAAAGAAAGGTTGTTTATTGACTATGCATCTTAAACTGCTACAAGGCTTAAGGCAGGCTGCATCCCTATACCCATGTGCCTGGGAGTAAGGTAAAAAAAGGTAAAGGACCCCTGGACGGTTAAGTCCAGTCAAAGGCGACTATGGGGTTGCGGTGCTCATCTCGCTTTCAGGCCGAGGGAGCTGGTGTTCGTCCACAGACAGCTTTCCAGGTCATGTGGCCAATGTAACTAAACCACTTCTGCGGTAACGGAACACGTGACAGAAACCAGAGTGCACGGAAATGCCAGTTACCTTCCCGCTGTAGCGGTACCTATTTATTTACTTGCACTGGCGTGCTTTCGAACTGCTAGGTTGGCAGGAGCTGGGACCGAGCAACGGGAGCTCACCCCATTGTGGGAATTCGAACCGCTGACCTTCTGATTGGCAAGCCCAAGAGACTCAGTGGTTTAGACCACAGTGCCACCAAACCCAATGGGACATACAGTACTTCGTAGGAGGCATGCATAGGATTGTGTTCTTATTTTAATCTTGCTCCTATTTATGGGATTGACAATTGAAACATTTTATAAGAGATTAGAAATATGTTTGTTTTATTAATACTGAACCACATACTGTGATTTTATAGAGGGTGAAAATGGAAGTGTGTCGAGGCAATGCCATGCAATGAGAAATAAAGGAGGATTAATTAATGCTCACGTTTGTGCCAAATATTAATTAGCACATAGCACTGACTTTGGAGAATGACTATCTGCTCACCGATCCAAGAAATAGCAATTGATGTACCCTAATGATAGAAAATCTTTAGACAGACATATTGGCACAAGCTGTATTCAGTCTAGTGCATATATTCTTGATGTAATTTCAGTGGGAAAATAATATCTTTTCAGAATGCACAAACACTAGAGCTTCTGATTAAATTTAGCATTTCAAACACTCAGTTAAATGTTGGCACGGTTAGGAGTTGGCATTTTTCTTTTAATTCTAAAATGGCAGGCTTTAAATGTGAGTGATTTTTCTTTTTTCCCCTAAGCGACAGATAACAGGGAAAATGTATTACTAAATAATTACTCCATTCAAGGAGAGGTGAATGACTTGTATCTGCTTACCTTTAGCTGAAAGTATTTTATTGTAATGGACTGCCATGTGATCCCTGATCAGGTACTGGTTGCTTAGTCTGCGGGAGGAGTCATCAATGCAGAAGGCTACAAAAGTAAAGCACATTTGACTTTATTGTGGAAAGTGCCTGTAGTCTTCACCAGCAATTGCAGAAATATAAGTTCAAAGCAGGAACACACAGATGGAAACAGGTCATTGAGAAAAACTCTTTCTAAAACTTATTGACTCCTCCTTGACTCGAAAGTCAAGGAGAAGGAGGTAACAGTGGCCATGGTGAGGTAGTCACAAGACTTTGGCCATTCAATAACCATGGCCCAATGGGAAAACTTGTGGAAGAATAATTGGAAATTCACAAAGTGTTAAACAATTAGAGAGAACTTTCTGAAAATGCAACACCAATGGTACTTAACACCCTGGAAACTTTCGAAAATGTAAAAAAATGTGTCAAGTAATTGCTAGAGATGCGGAGATAATTCAGGAACTTTTTACCACATGTGGTGGTTCTGCAGGAAAATACAGGTATTCTGGGAGAGTATTCATTCAGAATTGCAAAAAATGCTAAACATCTCTTTTAATAAAAAATCAGAGGCCTATCTCCTGGGAGTTACAGGTCTGGATATTCTGCAAAAAATGAAGGGTATCTTTTTATATCCCATGGCAGCAGAAAAAGTTCTTATTGCAGCAAAATGGAAGAGTTTCGAAATTCCCTCTATACCTGAATGGATCCGAAAGCTGACAGAATATGCCAAATTAGATGGTCTACCAGAAAAACTAAAGAACAAATCAAAACAGGAATTTGTCTCAAAATGGGAGGTCTTCAAAGAATATTTGAAATATAAATATAGTAGTTTAAACTCTGTTGCAGCATTCGAGGAACTTCAGTAACAGTTGCAAGTTAGCCATAAGAGGTAAGATATAGTTAAATGATGATAAAAGTCTGTATTGGCAATAAGTAATATGAGATTGAAGTAAGGAATAGATGGGAGGTCGGGTCTATAGTGTTAAGACCAACTTATGTTTTATTGTTTGTTAAGAAAATGTTGCGTTTATTGTTATTCCTGTGTGTAATTCTGTATCTGTGTTTTCTCCTTTTTTTCTTTTTTTTGCTGTATCAATAATAACTTTTTTTTTAAAAAAAGAGAGAAACTCATGAAGAGCAGGTTGAATTGGAAATGCTGCAGTATGGAGTGCTCCTGTTCCATTTCACTTTGTTCCAAAAAAATCATCAAGGAGGAAGCTAGATGGATCTCCGGGAACAGAGAGCCTAGGCATGACAATGGAAAAAGACCACGCCAAACAAACTTCAGATTGCAATGGGCCTCCCCAGATGTTCTAAGTCAGGGATATGGAACCTGTGGCACTCCAGATGTTATTAGACTTCATCAGCCCTAATTAGTGTGGCCATCAGCCAGGGATGATGGCAGCTACAGCTGAACAGCACGTGGGACTCACTGATTCCTCAGTGGTGTTTAAAAGAATGGGGAGACTCATGCAGCAGGAGGTGGCCCCTGTGGTATTCTGGTCCTAAGCAGGGAATTCTTCCCAAGATTAATGCAATATTCCATCTAGCATGATCACATCACATACTGTAGTATTAGAGGCGGATGTGAGAGAGATTGGATATCTGGCAGGGACAAGAAGCCCCTTGCTAAAGCAATATTTTAAATATCTCATTCAGCTAATATTCCTGCTTTAATAAACAGAGTATTTAAATAAATCGAAGCTCTTTTTAGGGCCCTGAACATAACGAGCCTTAATTAGCCAAACTATTCAACACATGTATTCCTTACTATGTGCTTAAACAGAGTGACACTCCTCTCAGAGCTGTTAATATTTTTTTATATATTTTTTGCACATGTCAGCCAGAGCTGCACTTATTTGGACCTCAGATTCCAAGTGGTAAGTAAGTGCACATTTACTGACAATCCATTATTCCTCATTGTTTGTGGAACCAGCAACAGGCACACTCAAATGCCACCAAACCTGATGGCTTCCATCTGTGCAGTTTCCACCCGTTTTCAGACCATTTACAACATTTGTTTTCTTTTTATTTGCTGACTAGTAAGGTCCCATGTCTTGCCGTGGCAAATCGCAGGAGGACACTTTGTACTCAAATGGCTAACACATGGTGTCAGGGGTGACACATGGACATACTGAAAAGCTAAGGGTAAAATCAACACTTACATCAGAATACCTGTCTTCAGTTATGAAGCCATGAACAAGCAAATCACTCACCACAGAGCCATTTCAGTGATGCTTCTGAGATGTAAGGTTTACCGTTTAACAGCCAAAGCAGCAAAACATATCCCTGCATGTGAAACTAGGATGAGATCCTCAAAAACAGCTACTCCAGAATAGCCCCATTATGAAGTCAACATGACTACTTTGGAGCAAGTAGTTTAAGGACTGAAGCCTGAAGGCCCTGGCAGCAGACTTCAAGCCTATCAGGACTGAAAGGACTGATCAACTATCTGGTGAGGCAAATAACAAATTATATATAAAACAAGTATGTAGATTCTAACCGGGTTTTAAACAGCACAAGCTCTTAAGAAAAATGGCTCCATATTTGAGGTAGTGTTGTACCTAAATTGTATCCATTACTTGAAACAAATAAGGGGTTGCTAACCCACAACCTGTTGAATAAATACATCCTCTAAGAGGATTTTGTGACCCCCAAGATACCCTTAAAAGGCCTTTTAAAAGTTTGTTTTTACTGCTCCGATAAGTCCCCCGCTGTACTGCCATGGTGCCAAAAGATTTTTGTGGCCTCCCAAGCCCCCCCATCAGCATTATTTAAATTTATAATTCTTTTTATTTTCACCCCCCTGATTGTTTCCATAGGTACCCCACTGTGATGTCAAAAGTTTTTGGTGATGCCCAAGAATCCTAAAATGTTTCCTTATTTTGGCCATGCCAGTTCTGACAAGGACTGACCAAGGATCAATGTGGCCCTTGCCCTAAACCCGCCCCCCCCCCACCAAAAATCAACCACCTCTGAAATAAATATATTTGTGTTTTTCCCAAGATATCTAAGCCAAGCTTCAGCAACAGTCTTCTACACTGAGATGTATTATTTATTGAATTGGTTAAAACCAAGACAATGCAAAGACTAAAAACTTTGGGTCAGCTGATATTCTTGCATTGAGTATCAGTATTCAGTTTCTGTTTAACAGCTCTGATCAACCAAAAAAGACTTCCCCTTTCTCTTCTCCCCACCCCCCGAAGCCTCCCCCACTCCAAATATGTGCACTGTGCAATGACAGATTTTACTCATTAGTATAGTCTCAACCAAACTAAGTTCTCACCACAATGCTTTAATGTAAAATATTTTAAGAGTCCACACAACAAGAATTCGATGCAAAGCTATACAGTGGTGCCTCGCAAGACGAAATTAATTTGTTCTGTGAGTTTCTTTGTCTTGCGGATTTTTCGTCTTGCGAAGCACGGATGCACCCTGGTACTGTATTATGAACATTATTACAGTACTCCTTTTATAATGGGATAGCGGGCAAAGCACAAAGCGGGTCGCTCCCCAGCAGGAGGAGTTTCCCCAGCCTGGAGGATCTGTTGCCGGGAAGAGGCAAAGACACCCCCTCCCACCTCCCCATGAAAACATCCCCCCTTCCTCTGTCGCCAAGCCTTGCCGCGTCTTCACTCCACCAAACCGCGTCCCACATCAAAGCCCCAGCCCGCTCCTCTCCCTCTCTCTCCACGAGATTCCAAAGGAAGTTCGAGCCCAGGAACTGAGGGCGGACGCACGAAGCGCCCAGCGCGGACTCTCCCTTACTCCCCCTGTTACCTTGCGCCACACCGCCGGGCTCCCCACAGTCTTGGCAGCTGCTCCCGGCTTCTTCCCACCCCTGCAAAGGCGCCTTCGCGGCAGCCCAAGCGCAGTGGATGCCTCCTCCTCCTCCTCCTTGGTCCCCCTCCTCCTGCCTTCGCGCAGTTAGGGCAAAATGGAGCAGCCACGTGGGGAGGGGGGGAGAGAGAGAGAGACAGAGGCGGCGCAGAGACCCAGCCAGATCCGCTGGATCCCAGCCCACCTGCCTCCTCTGTGCCCTCTCCAGAAGAGGATCCCTCTGCGTCGTTCTGCTAGATCCCGCTTCTGTTGCGCCCAAGTCTGTTATTTGTTCTTTGGCTCCTTCTGCAGTCTTTCTTTTGTGCGCTTTACGCACACGCTCTGTATCCGGAGTCTCTCTCTCTCGTATCGGGTTACTCTGCTCGGAACTCTGGACTAATTGTCGTGCTCGCGATCGCGCTTGGAAGAGATTTGCTCCCGCTCTTTTCTTGCCTTGCGTTCATTCGCGGAGCGAGACGCTCTCCTTCCCCAAGGCTGAAACTGGAAAAGGTAGGTCGCTCCCTCGCTCGCTCCCTGCCAGCCCAGTTCCCGCTTCAAACTTGGTACAGTATTAACGGTTTTAAGAAAAAGGAAACAAACTCGCAAGTCTTGGGAAGCAAGCCCATAGGGAAATTCGTTTTGCGAAGCAACTCAAAAAACGAAAAACTCTTTCGTCTAGCGAATTTTTCGTCTTACAAGGCATTCGTCTTGCGAGGTACCACTGCACTTAAAAAATGTTGCTGTTTACCCCATTATGCAAATTACTTACCATTACTTTTAGTACTTAAATGTCCCCTGAATGGGCTTGCTGGTCCATACCGGGGAATAGCTTGGTATTCAATCACTGATATAAAAAAGAAACAATGCAATTAGGGTGGAAGTATAGCTTTCAGCACAGAGAATTAAAAAAAACTCATAAAAAGTCAGTATGTTCATTATGATGACCTATTGTGAAAAACATGAGTTTGCAGGAAAGTCATCAAAATACACGAGGTGAACTTACTTTAATATTACATCAACTGAAGAGAAAAAAAATCTCAATAGTAAATCACTGATTAAATCAACTGTGCAACCATACATTAAAGTAATGCATAAGCCTATATATCAATGTACTTAGGCGGATTTAACTCTGCCTATGATTGGACTGAAAATGAAGTCATATATTTTTTCCTTTCATCTTGAAATGAATATACAGTGCCTATTCATTTTACCATAATTATAGTAACTATACTTTTGAGTTTCAAGCTATCTAAGATGATAGTTTTAGAGCTGAAACATCACGGTGGCAACGGACAATTCACTGGAAGATGTCCATTTCCTGAGCAACAAAACTTTGCACCCCGAGTTCTGGTAAAATACAAAATCCCAGTAACAGTAGTTCTGTCGTGAACTACTGGGTCTTCCATGGCACTTTCTATATTTTGCAGAGGCAGGAGGGGACATCAAAAACATGGATTCCTGAGGACTTCCGGGTTAGCGCCATCGCCGAATGGCGGACTCCCTCCGAGCTCCGGAGGGAGTCTGCTCGGCAGGGGCTGGGTCCTACCGCGCCGGCGACGCGGGGACCCTTAAAAACCACGGGCACGGAGTCCGTGGACATGGGTGACTCGGCTTGCACCATTAGCGCCCTCCCGACTCGTGAAGGAGCCTTTTAAAGGCTTCGGATCGGGTGCCGGGAGTGGCGTGGTGCTTTGAGTCCACTGCTTTCCCTGCCGAGCGCAGCCGCATGCCATTCGACGGAGAGCGCTGACTTCTTCTATTGAAAATTTGGACTATTAACAACAACCCGTGAGTAATTGGGAAACCGGGTTCAAAATTTTGGATTTGGCACGAGCGGGGCGATTTAAAAGGAAGTCAATCCCCCTATTGTAAGCATTCCAAAACAAGGACTGGGTAACCAAGGTCCAAAGGGAAGTATGTCTCTGATAAAAATCATTAATTTCACGATGGGAAATTATAAGAAATGTGCTGGAGGAGAAGAGTGGAGGGTGAGAAGAAAATGCAACCCCCCCCCTGGGAACCGGGGCGATTCGTGGAGCCTGGTGAAGAGAGACGGAGACTTTGACAGCTGTCAAAGTGGCTGTCAAAGCTGGAGAATATAAAGAGGACTTTGTTATGAGGACCTTGCTGGTTAAATTTTGTTACAATTTGCTATAATATGGATATAAACTGTTGGAAAATAAGCAACAATTTGACTTTTGGATTAGAGGATACAAAGTTATTACAATCCCCTAGAGGGGTTTCGGGATACTACAAGAACGGTCGTAAGTGGAAAAATACCCTGGGATTCGCACAGGATTTGTTATCTTCTGGGAAAGCTGCAAAACTGAAAGAGTATTTTGTCTACAGAGGAAGACAATGGAATTTTTATTGAAGAAAGAAAGGGACTGGACGTAAGTTTTTGTTCCTGAATAACAAACCTCTGCAGAGACACTAGATTTCTGAATTAGAAAGTTTTAGCAGCTGAACAGGACAAGAAACCTGAGAAAGTGAGGAATAAGAAGAATAAAGGACTGATTACGACACGGAAAGAACAACGGGAGGAGTGGTAAAGATCAAGGAAATTAAAGGCCTTTGTTAGATTGGACATTTGAAGTCAAATATTATTTAAATTAATAAACTAAAAGAAAACCGGCAAGATGGAATCGGGAGAAATCTGGTCATGAAATGAGACTTCCAAGCTGATAATGTATAGACTGATGGACATGGGGAATTCAAACCGGGAAGGGGGGAGATCCGAAATCCAAAGGCTGTGTAACCATTTTTTGAATTTTTCTATATCTCTTATTTTCTATTTCTTTACATAACTTACGCATGTTATTTTACTTTGATCGGACGTGTTTAAAAAAAAGGGAATTTGTGGAAGGAACTGGGGTGGATCTTGGGGAAAATCTTTTTCTTTTTCTGTTAATGATGTGGGACGGTGGTAAGATTTGTACAATTCAATCTGGATAGTGGGTTAAACAAATTAAGCTTTAAATTGGGAGTGAGAGCTTGTAGAACCAAATTAAGGAAAGGGGAATACAATTGGGGGAGGGGGAGTCCCAGAAAGTAGGGAATGAAAGTAAGGTTTTTAAATATCTTCTTTCTTTTGTCTTTTTTCTTTGTATTTTTATATTTTTGGAAACTTTAATAAATATAAAAATACAAAGAAAAACATGGATTCCTGAATCCTGACATCCGAATCCTGAACAGACAATTGCTTGGTTTAATATGAACAGTCCTAGGGCTCACTGGCTTCCTCCTATCATCGCAAACTCCGATTCTCTCCCAGATTTGATTTCGCATGACATACAAACTGGGTAAACCTTGGTTCGTAGCAGTTATAGAAGTAATAATAAACTATGGTTTGCAGGAAAATCGAAAGTGATAAGAGAGGACGCAAGGGAAGGCAAGTGCATCAATCCAAACTATATTTGGAATTAGCAGCCAGAAGAAGAGAGGTGTGCAGGTGCCAGAGAAAGAACTGTGAGTGGGCAAGTGTCTTATTTGCTATCCTTTGGACCATATGGGAAACTCATCCAATAAATCTGCTATAGCCTGGAATTGGGTGTGTTGATTGAGTGCTAAACAGGAACCAGCTGTGGGCAGGCAGCCTCACAAAGCTCTATCAACCTTTTGGGTGGGGAAAAAGTTTTTTGGGGGGAGTTAAATTGCCAAATATTAGAAGTCTGCATTGGGTCCCTCTGGCAACAGATGGTTTGAGAAGGTATGAGCACTGCCTTGTCTGATCATCGAACTCATCACACGAGGGTTCTTAGAGAGATGTTATGTGGTCTCCATTGACATCCTTTACAAATAAAAATAGTGCGCTGCATAGGCCCCCAACAACATATGCTTCTATGTGGCAAGTTCTATGTTATCCCAAATGTCCCTTTGTTGAATCTATTTTATTATGTTGTCTGTGAAAGTGTACAGAACCTTCTGTTTATTTTATTTTAACTGCAATAATGTCTGACCAAACTGCGGGAGGCAGTGGAAGACAGGAGTGCCTGGTGTGCTGTGGTCCATGGGGTCACGAACAGTCGGACACGACTAAACGACTAAACAACAACAACAATGTCTACACCCAGTCCTTGTTCTTTCTTTGTTTTTGTCTGTTTGTATGTGGTTGGTTTTTTGTTTGTTTTTTAAAAAACCTTAATAAACACATCTAAAAAATATAGCTCTGCCAAACTTGGTGTCTACCCATAACAGAAAGCCTAGAGAGCAACAAGGCATCAGCAGGTTCCTGGAACCCCCATTGTTGTGAGTTTTCGAGAGTGTGTTGCGAGTTTCTTTGGCTGAGAGTTGGCATGAAAGATTATTATTATTATTATTATTATTATTTATTGAATTTATATACCGCCCTATACCCAGAGGTTTCGGATGGAGTCCTGGGTGAGATTCCATTCTAGAATCATATCTGTGTAGTTTATTTCTGTAGCAAAGACCTATTTTTTGCTTTTTTTGAAATATTTCCTGCTCCAAATCATTAACATAATTAGTAGGACCACATGTATCCCATCAAAATGGATTATGGATTCTAAGGCAAAAAGAGAAAGGGTTGCCTTGTACTATATTTTTAGTACTCAGCTGCAGTAAACAAGTACAAAATATGTGCATGTCATGTCAGATATGAACTATGAAATTACCTCTCCCTTCCCTTTTACACCCTGCTTTTCCACATTAAAAATTAAACATATAATTATCTTTGCAACCTGGGCACTTAGTGTGCTTGTGGTTGCTATTCTGGATTTCTTCAATCCCACTCCTCTTAAAGCTACAGAAACTGAAATACGTAACTGATCATAAAATAAACTGGGGTCAAATTCTGGGGTCAGTAAAGCAAATGTCTTTTGTCGAGACTGAAAGTGTTTCCATATTATTTGGCATTCCTAAAACCTGCAAGTAGGGGCTCTGCTGATCTCCACAAGTACAAATGGAAAAGAAGGGAGAAGGAGGGGGAATTAGTAGAATTACAAGTTTCAATTGGTAGTACGAATCACAAGTTTCAAGTTTGCTGTGCTAAAAGGATGCAGCATTTAACCTGTGGAGTACTGCTTTCTCCACATACAAGTTCATGGTAAACTATGTACAGTGGTACCTCAGGTTACATACGCTTCAGGTTACATACGCTTCAGGTTACAGACTCTGCTAACCCAGAAATAGTACCTCAGGTTAAGAACTTTGCTTCAGGATGAGAACAGAAATCGTGCTCCAGCAGCACGGCAGAGGGAGGCCCCATTAGCTAAAGTGGTGCTTCAGGTTAAGAACAGTTTCAGGTTAAGTACGGACCTCCGGAACGAATTAAGTACTTAACCTGAGGTACCACTGTATAGGGTGATATTCTGGTGCATTCTAAGATTTAACCCACCAAACATTTAAAAAAATAAATAAATCATGTGCAATGGCTAACTTCCACGTACTTCTTGCATACCATCAAACTCCATTCACTGACTGTACTACATTCAAAACAATTATATTACTATATTCAAAATGAACCCTTGCATACGTATAATTAACGAGCGGAACTGTTAAAGCTAGAATACTGTACTGTGAAAGAGTCTGCTTAATTGTGGTAGGTATCAGTTTCTGCCACATGTGCTGTGGATTTTTTTTATCATAATCCATTAAATAGATAAAGACTACTAATACATTTTATCATGGAGGATTACACGTTCTCCCGTTCCTCTGAAGCAGCAAACTGACATAAAATATGAAGCGAGCCATCTGCAGTACAGTTTTAAAAACTATTTCAGCTATCATTGTCATTTTCTTATCATTGAATTCTAACAGATTGCTGAAATATGTGAGCTTTCGAAAAATATTCACAAATGTTATTTCTTGCTTTAGTAAGAAGAATGGTTTAAAAACAAAAAAACAAAACCCAGAGTGTGAGCTGGGCCTCCTTTTCTGTCACTCTGCCACAAACTGGTTCCAGACCAACGCTGCTGAAAACAAGAGAGCTCATCACTGAACCTTGGGGAGGGGTTGCAAATAGGGATTGGAAGTGGCAGGTGGTCATGCTGCTTTTGTACAGGAGCCAAGCTCAGCTCCATCTATTGGTTAGATATAATGAATGTCCTACTGCGGCTACCACAAACAGCACTGGGCCCTGCTCTAGTTGGGTGGGAGGCCCTTTGCTGGGAATATGCTAAGGGCTCCTGGAGTCTGGAACTGGCACTGCCTACCTGCTACCCCACCCCACTCCAGGTTTTGGGGAGTTCTAGAGTCCCTAGAATTCTGCATTGGTTAATCATGTTTGGAGAAGAGCAACCACCATCATTTCATTATTTTGTCTTAGTTGGACTTGCTGAACATTTTAATCTATAGAGATTATATGGAGTCATACAGTCGTCCCCCCCCCCCAAGTTGGCTAAGAAAAAACTCTGGTGGGGTGGGGTACATCCATTTAACACCTAGAAAAGTCCAGTAGACAGCAACACAGTCTCTGTTAGAATTACTGTAAGTCTCTTAACTTTTAACTACTTGGGAAGTTAGAACTGTAGAGCAGGCAGATACAGCAAAGTTCATCTAGTAGTCTATTGCTCTGGAGACGGTTTTATTAGCTTCAATTAAACGAATTTGCTAAAGGTCACAGAGTGCATGCTTGTTCTTCAGCGCAGACCAGTCTCCACTGAACACAAGGTGGAATTAACGATGCAACTGGGCAGTCGGACACTCAGAGGGCTAAACTGGTGCAGGCTTTGGTAGCACATAGTCTATGAGGATCTGGATGAAAGTCAACACAGAGGTTACTTCTCAACAGAGGCTGCTTCTCTATACTGCCACTCTTAGGTACCTTGCAAGACAATTTTGGCAACATTTTCTAAAATGGAAATATATGACCCCGAGTCCTTGCAGCACTAGATTATGGTGGTTCAGAAGGCTTTAAAGGTGGTCTGAGCAGAGGTGGCAGGAATTGAACTGACAGTACAGGCAAGGAGCCAAAGCCATTAATGCAGTCCATAAGGTGAAAGAAGACCGCTGGGCTTAACAAGCTGTAGAATAGAGTAGGAAGCAAACCAGGGAGGCAGATGAGAAAAGGAAGTGGTTAAAGGAACAGCCAAAAAAGTTCTTTTGGACCAGCCTAGTGCCCTCTCCAAACTATATCAGATTCCTCACACTGATAGTGGTTCCTGTGTACATGAATGGAGAACAGAGAGGTATGTGCAAGTCTGTGCAGAAACTAGTCTGTTATGCAAAAATAAAAATTACATCGCTCCATCCACTTTTGCCTCTGGCCCTGATCAGTATTGGCACATGGCCCCCACTGGTTGCCCATAAGGGAATGCAGCCTTTGGATGGAAAAAGATTCCACCACCTGGTGTTCAGATACTGACATAGGTGAACCAATGGTTTGACTCAGTCTAATCCAGCTTCCTGTGTTCTTTAGATGCCTCATAAATACATCTTTATTTATGTTGGCAACAGGATTTAATTTTATTGGTTTGGTTTGGTTTGCTCCGCTCTGCATGGCTATGACCTGGTAATTTGTAATAGTATGTTTGTTTTTAACAGTAGTTTTATTGTTGTTTTATTATTGCACGTCTTTTTTTGAGCAATATGTTATTGAAAAAATGGCCAGTACATTTAAAAACTAATCTAAATATTTCAGTTTTTTTCTTTTACAATTGGACAACACACATAGCTCCTATTCAAACAACATAAATATCTCAGTAATCAGTCTGTAAGTAAATTACGTCTTATTTGCCACAAGTAAAATCACGTTTCTGTGTTACAGATGTTATTTTATTACTGCTTCAACCTTTGGCAAGCAAAGGCATTGGGAGATAAACAGCTCAGTGCAAACCACCAGCTTTGAATAATAAAGCTGTTTTAGAGCAGTTGCATTAATGTCTAGTTATAAATAACACTGGTCTGTCAATAATGCAAAAAAAGTTAGTGCTTCTTTCAGTGCTGAACTGTTTTGATTGCTGCATAAGTTAAACTGATCCCAGGGAAAAATTAACTACACTTCAGCAACTTTGTTCCTAAGGTTGGAATCCTTAGATATATTCCAACTGAGCTGACATCATGCACCGTCTGTCTTAACCCAATGGATTTTAAGCTTTGTACCAGTAAGCCTTGAAAGCTGAAAAAGGGATTCCTCAATGAGAAGATGGAAGAAGATGGAGAACATTCATGGAGAAAAATCACCCCAGTTGAAACAACAAAGGGTTTATGAGTGTCAGTCTTCCAACTAAAATCAATTATGACTGCATATATACTTCGGTTGAATTAATACCCTACAGCGTGGGGATATTTCTCTAAAATCATTTCAAAACCATCTTTCAATATAAATACCCCAGGCATGTAACAACAGAACCCGTGTAAAACATTAAAAAGCCATGCTGTGGATCAGACCACAGGCCTTTCTAGTCCAGCATTCTTCCTGGTTGACACAATTCCTATGGGAAGCCAGTAAGCAGGACCAGAGAGCAACAGAGCAATATAAAAAGGAGAAAAAGTTGGAAATAATATAGCCACCAGGCAGGGCCCGATTTAGGTTTGATGAGGCCCTAAGCTACTGAAGGTAATGGGGCCCTTTATATGTCCAGCTGTCCTTTGTCAACAACAAATTGTCACTATTTTTTGTGTTGAATATATGCTATATGATAATTTATGGACCAGTCCATGCAGAATGTAGGCACCCTATACAGTGGTACCTCTGGTTATGTACTTAATTTGTTCCGGAGATCCGTTCTTAAACTGAAACTGTTCTTAACCTGAAGCACCACTTTAGCTAATGGGGCCTCCCGCTGCTGCCACACCGCAGGAGCACAATTTCTGTTCTCATCCTGAAGCAAAGTTCTTAACCCAAGGTACTATTTCTGGGTTAGCAGAGTCTGTAACCTGAAGCGTATGTAACCTGAAGCGTATGTAACCCGAGGTACCACTGTATATAGAAATGAGCAAACCAGTGATATTTTACGGAGCAGGTTAGCAGGCGCGGCCCATTACTTACATCATAGGAGCCTACACAACACAAAACACTGTTGCTGTATGTAGGTTTTATTTTATTTGTTTTTTATCTTATATTTTGCAAATGTACATCCAGTTTATTTTTTCCTTTAAATTTTTTTGGGGTCCCCAAGAGAGTGGGGCCCTAAGCTATAGCTTGTTTAGCTCATACGTAAATCCGGCACTGCCACCAGGCCCTCCTCCAAAAAACCCCTCCACCAGCATAACCATGAGCTGTTGGTTCTTTAAAAATAACGAGGATCCATTACTTCTCTTAAAGTCTAGGTGACACTTGGGGAAACCTTTGCTCCTGTTTTCAAACTCATTTACCTTCCCGCCAGGGCGGTACCTATTTATCTACTTGCACTTTGACATGCTTTCATACTGCTATGTTGGGAGGAGCAGGAACCAAGTAACGGGAGCTCACCCCATCACGGGGATTTGAACCGTCAACCTTCGGATCGGCAAGTCCTAGGCTCTGTGGTTTAACCCACAGCGCCACAGAAGCAAACCCTACCCAGCTCAGTAGGCCTTTCTCACAGGCCAATTTATTATATGGGGCTGCCGTCCAAAAAAAAGCACTTTGTACTGGAGGGGGCGGCAATTTCTGTTTCATCCAGCTTGCCCAGAATGGCAGGTCTCCACAGAACCACCTGTGTGCAAGGGAGGCTGGGAACCAAGACAACACAGTGCAGGAGGAGGAGGAGGGGTGCATGCTGGGAAACTCCCACGCTCCTCATCCTTTTCCCCCAGCGCGTTCTGGAGCCCTTTCTCAGCCGCGGGATCGGAGCGGGGCGTTCTGGAACCCTCGCGGAACTCCAAATGAGAAACCTCGCGACTGGGGCGGCGCGCGCTGCGGGGGCTTCCCTGCGCGCATTTGGCGATGTCGTCATAGTCAAGGCTGGAGAGGAGAGGGGGCGCGCGCGCGAGGGGAAGGGCTTGTTTATTGTCTGTCTGCTCTTGCGCACGGAGCTGCCCGCAGTCTCTGGCGAGAGGGATTTCTTTGGCTATACGGGGGGAGGCAGGTGAAGGGCGAGCGGTGCAGGATTAGCGACCGCTTCTGCCGGCTGCGGAAGGTGCGACTGTGTCCTGGCAGGCGCCAGAAGAAAGGGGCAGGGAATGGGAAGCGCAGAGCGCCTCCAGCTCGTGCAGGTCTCGCGGCCCTCCCATCCGCAGGACATGCCGGCGGACCTCCTTCTCCTCCTCCCCGCTCTCCGGCTCGTCCCCTCCAGCCCGCCGTCTCTACCTGGGCTGCTCCTCCTCCTGCCGCCGCCGCCGCCTCCGCCGCCCTCCAAGCTCACTCCCATTCTCTTGGCCCGGCCCGCCAGGCTCCTCCTAGCCCAAAGGGCCACCGGCGGCCCGAGCCCGGCGGCTTCCGTCCGTCCGTCCCTCCCTCTGCCCGCCCTTCCTCGCCTCTCCCGGCCGGCAAGGGGCGGGCCTGGCAGCCCGACGGGTTGCTATGGACACCGCCGCTCGCTTGGCGGCCGCCGCCGCTGGGCGCGTTACGTCCTGGGACCGGGGGAAGGGCAAGGTGAAGGAGGAGGAGGCCCGGAGCCGCGGTTCTCTGCGCCGCCGAGTAAAAAAAGGAGCGCGGGGCTTCAGAGGCAGAGGCTGAACAGCAGGTCTCCTCAGAAGCAAGTCCCGCCGTGCCCAAAGGTGTGGCTTGAACGCGGAGGGGACCCCTTGCCAAGTATAGGAGCGCGGGTGTCTTGCGCTGCGCAGGGTGGACTGCAGGAAGGGCGGCTGTTTTCCACGGGGAAGGTCCACTCCCTGGTTCATGCCACCACCTGTTTACGTGGGGTTGGCAGCAGGGCCCCCTCCGAAATCCCGGAGAGCCACTGCCTGGCATTGTAAACAGCACTGAGCTACGTGGAGCGAGGGTCTGGCTTCACCTAATGAAATATACTCGGAGTCGAGAGTGGATTTCATGCTCTTTATTCAGCTCATAGTGGTGAGGAGGAATAGAAGTTACCCCAGAATGTCTGCTTTATATCCATTATTTACACAATGGGCCCCACCTGATTGGCTAATTCCAGGATTCACCTGTAGGCCAATCTGGTTGTGGATTCACTTCCACCTGGAGCTGGATTGGGTGGCTCCTGAGGACCAATCAGACTGCTGCATTCTGAATTCTATTGTTCTAGGACCAATCAGACCGCTGCCTTTTGGATCCTATTCAACTCAGTACTGTACATAACACCTAAGGTCGTTTTCTATGCTAGCCTATGCACATTTACCAGGGAGGGGAGGCCCTACCACCCTACAGCCTTCCCCGCCACCTCCGCTCTGCGATCCCCCCGTTGCCCAATGTGCCCTGTCCCCCCTCCCATTACTGAGAACAGGACTGGGGGGGGGAGAACCAGTGTGATTGGTCAGACAGTATACCCCTCCTTTCCCTCCTTTTCTTTTAGTGTAAGTGGGATTGAACTTTGCTATGCTCACTTTCCTTAGGTTTGGGAGCTTTGGAGATACAGTGGTGCCTCGCAAGACGAAAAGAATCCGTTCTGGGAGTCTCTTCGTCTAGCGGTTTTTTCGTCTTGCGAAGCAAGCCCATTGACGGGATTAGCGGATTAGCGCTATTAGCGCTTTTAGCGGCTTTTAGCAGCTTATCAGCTTATCGGATAAGCAGATAAGCGGCTTAGCGACTTAGAAAAAGAGGGGGAAAAGGAAAAAAAAACCCCAGGAACTCGCAAGACATTTTCGTCTTGCGAAGCAAGCCCATAGCAGATTCGTTTTGCGAGGCACCTCCAAAACGGAAAACTCTTTCGTCTAGCGAGTTTTCCGTCTTGCGAGGCATTCGTCTTGCGGGGCACCACTGTATTTTTTAGAACCACGGTATTTATTTATATGTGCTTAGTGATCATTTGCGACCTGCATACAGTATTTGTCACCTTAGCTACCCAAAGCAGCACCCCTATACTCTGCCTCTTTCATTTCTGTGTAGCAAACCCATACAGTGGTACCTCTGGTTACGTACTTAATTCGTTCCGGGGGTCCGTTCTTAACCTAAAACTGTTCTTAATCTGAAGACCACTTTAGCTAACGGGGCCTCCTGCTGCTGTTGTGCCGCCGCCGTGCGATTTCTGTTCTCGTCCTGAAGCAAAGTTCTTAACCCGATGTACTATTTCTGGGTTAGCAGAGTCTGTAACCTGAAGCGTATGTAACCCGAGGTACCACTGTATTTTTTTACTTCCTAGTGTGCAACATTCTTTGTTAAGCATAAAAGTTAAATGTATCCATGCATTGTTATCAGAAGCACATCCTGATTCCATGCAGTAGGTTCCATTCCCCTCAGTAGTGTACCTTGGGTACATTGGTGGACATGGGCAGCGGGGAGCGTTCAGTGAACCTTGACACAATATATATACAAAACAGGTCTTGTGTTTGGAGAATTCAGAACTAACCAGAAAATCAGTGTGACCATGTTTCATGAACACTACACAGTAAACCAACCAACAGTGGTGTTTATTTAAAGAGCAATGCATTGGAAATGAGAAAGAAAATGTGGAATTCTGTGCTGGAAAAAATGTTACCATCTGAAAGAGCTACCTGTCTGCCATTTATGACTTGGCTTTGGCTGCATGCTAGCAGTAGCATCACAAATGTGTCAGTAGCATAATTTTCACATTGATTTGAAGAGCGTTTACAAATGGCAGCACTTTCTACTAATTTTCATTCTTTATAAGATACTGCTGTCTTTTAAAATGTTCAATATTTACAAGGCATTTGAGCATGTTTCTCCAGATCCAATGTCAAAATCTAGATTTTATTTAAAAAAATTAATGGTAGACACTTCAATGAGTTTAAGTACATCAGCTCCATGCTGGGCCAGTCCTGTAAATGGTGTCTGTTGATGAACCAAATTTGGATTGCATTGGCTGAATTGTGTATAATTCTCTTAACATCCTATAGACAGTTCTTGCATTAGTTATTGTACACAGACAGGGGCAGCCAAATAAAATGCAGAAACATGCATTTTAAGTTTCTAGCACCTTTACTATGCCAGATTTCTGTCTGCAGCAACAGCTTACTATTTCACCTTTTTGTACTCTGAAAGTTCATTTTTCCCAATGGAAGAATTCTGTGGATGAATCTGCCCCAACCGTCACTTGATGCATTGGGCTTCCAGTTTCCCACAAAAGTTGGTGGTTTCATTCACAGAATACATATTTTTTTAAAGGGTTGGGGACAGTCTCCCACTGAGCAAACAAACATTTCAAAAGCATCACAGCTATTCCCTTGTTACCAGGCAACACACTATGCAACAATTTCTATTGCTTTTCTTTCTTGTCCGCTGCAGTTTATTAAAATTGCCCTTGTTCCAGAATTCTGGCCCACTGGTGCCAATACATTTTCTACAATTTTTAGCAGATTGCCGTTGGCTTGAATAGCTTCTTTTGTCTTTTACACAACACCTTTCAAGGTCGGTTTCCAATGTAGTGGATGCATGGAATTGCTTTTGGATTAATCTCTGTGTGTACACTGCACACATGTTTTAAAAAAGCATTTAGTTGACTGTGTTATTTGGGCAACTTATTCATTGATGAGCCTGTGAACTCAGTTATTTTAGAAACCTAACCTTGACTACCATGATAATCTTTGCACAAATTGCATGAATGATGCATTCTAATAATATGTTTGTGAATGTAACCATGCAAATAACACCAAACGTCATGGATGGAAAAAAGTGTAACCTAGGAACTGGGCTAGCTTTTATGATACCTAAAGACATTCAGATGTAGATTGACAGTTCTCAGGGTTATCTTTAAAAACCACATGTTCTTATTTCTTGCACTGTTTAGCCAGAATTGAAAGCGCATAATTTCATAATTTAATTCCTGCTCCCTTATATAAGATGTTTCTGTGCCACCCCATAACATAAAGACTGGAATAAAGTAAATGACAAAAATCCAAAACATGGGAGATTTCAAGGGGTCAAAAAAATAAATAAATATGGATGTACCATGCTACATTAGAAGCAAAAAAGCTTGTTTTGATGAATTGGAAGAGCTGAAAAAATTCCATTGAGCACATGGATTGATAATATGGACAGATTAGCTACACATGAACGAAATGCATGTCGACGCAAAATAAGAATGGATAAATATGAAGAAATCTGGAACGAATATTTAAGCGATAAGGTGGATAGTGATGGGAAGTAGGGAGAGAAGAGAGAGGTGGGAAAATATTGTTAAAAAGGGTGTAGTTGTAGGTATATCAGTGTATTCAAATCTGAATTGTAAAATTGTGTTATTGTTATTATGGTTTTTGTTGTATGTGTCTTTTGCAGTTGATGTTTGTATTGAAAAAATGATTAAACAATTTTTTTAAAAAAAACAAAAAAACACTTAATAAAATCAAAATCTCACCAACATCTCCCTGTTGGTGACCCACTTCACTTCATTTGTCAGAGGCACCCAGTATAGGGCCTCTGTAGGGGATGCTAAGGTATGGGGAAGGTCCCTATGGGTTAGTTAAAATTGGTGGTTGATGTGTAAGAAAACCCGCTTCTATATTTCTACCTAAACTGCACTATTTTCTCTTCACCCATTTCCTCCTATAAACTTTTTGGAGTGGAATTAAGGACATGACAAACTGTAGCTATACTTTATCACTGCTAAGAGCTGTTTTATTCTCGCCGTTTCAGTTTGAAATGCCAGGCATTAAAGAACACAGACACTAATTAGCAGCGTTAACTGGAAGAGTCAAGAAGTTGAGAATCTGACTTTAGTCATCCAGGCCATAAATTCTGAATCTTTACTTCCTCTGCCAGGTGACACCAGCCTAATGTGACATATGCAAATGCCCCTTTGCGATAATTAACGATCAAGAAGATGCATATTCCCAAAGTATGGCTATATGCGTTAAATGGCAGGCTAAAATAACAAAAGTAATGGCTCAAATTAGTTTAAAAAAAGAAGTTTTGTGACAATGTAAAGCAGATTTATAGCCTCTCTTTTTTTAGCTGTGTATATGCAGAACGGGAAATAATCCCCACTGACTCTAATGGAATTTATTTCCAAATTCGGGGATGGGGATTGTGAAGCCCAAAATTCATGAAACTTGTTACATGCTTTGAGACATTCTGAAACATTGGCTTTGGAAAATCTCCAGGGTGAATTCCATAGTTTGTGAGGCAGGTGCTGAGAATGCTTCTGTATGCGTGCCCTGTCTGCTTGAACCTGGAACGCAGATGGTCTAATTGCCAGGAGACTCTTGGTTGAAGATTCAGATGGGACCAAGAGTTCCCAGTGGTTCAGTGCAGCATGTGGGCAGCTGGAAAGCAGAAGCTCTCATGGTGCAGCTGTGAAGTCATGTGTGCTACTGTGAAGTAGCAAAAGCATTACATGGACAGACCCTAGGGGTGGCTGAGAGCTAAGGCAGGTTAAGAGCTCTTAAAAAAAATAGGGGAGGGGATTACTCTGCGAAAAGGATCTTATA